ACTTCTATTTTTTTTATGTAAAATTCATTTTAAAACAAATCAAAGAAATATTTTTCAATCTGTGCTTTTGTTTTTCGTACTAAGATTTCTATAATTTCGTCGTTCGTATTTGTGAATTCTATATTTTTGAAATAAAAATGATCATGAATGCAGCTCATGTGATTACGTCTAGGATATACATGATATCCCAAAAGTGCCTTTCTAAAAGTTTTTTCGTTTCATGTCACTGTTGACTCGACTGCATCATTTACTAATAGTTTTTGAGCAATAGATAAATACACAAAGTTTCTATTTCTACAGACGAACTTTCAAAGCATCGTTGAAAGTTAAGACCTTAAATTGAAATACAAAAATATAGGCTGTCTTTTCTGTTCCAAAAAAGTCATGGATGATCTGTGTTTCAATTGCTGGAATTTGGATTTGATATCATTCATTTCGTTTTTTATAAAGACATACCAAAATAAAATTTTGTACAAAGATCTTTCAAGTATTGAACAATTTAACGATTCGAATTCCTTAACAATTCAAAGTAGTCACAAAAGAAATGCTACGTAATGCTTTCTGAAAAAAGAAAACAGATTGAGTTTTTGTATTTTGGTTTAAAGGTTTTAGCTTTTGACAATGCGTTTGAGGTTTGTCTGTGTTACAGGCATGTTGTTCACATTGCTTCAGCTGTTACTATCCGTTTTCTCTCTGTGTTCTGTTTTCGTTCTCTTTGTTTACATTCTTTGATTCTTTTTTGCTCTATCATCATTCGAAATAAAACCGAACTAAAAGAAAGAAGCAAAAGGGACCTCTGATAGTCTGTAAAAATAAAAACTCTTTGCATGTATTTATTATTTAAAAGAAATTATTCAATGAAGTCTAGTCAATAGTGAAATGAAACGAAAAAAACTTTTGCGAAGGGACTTTTGAAACATCTTCTATTTTATTATCAATGAATATAGATATTTAATTGATTATGAAAATAAATATAACTAAACAAGATTATCGTATCATAGAACAAAGCGAAAGTACCTATTTATTTATTTCTGTTTCAAAAATTATTAACTAAACATGCCTTTTATTTTATTAAATTTTTCAAAACTAAAAATATTCAAATGTTCAAATAATGAAAAGGAAGATATTTATATTTATCATTTATATTACTTACTGCTGATTAACTCTAGACCGATTTCAACTGCAAAAAAGTAGAATTTTTTGTTTTAAAATTTCATTAGATTAAAGCATTTGACACATGTTTCAAAAGTACGTTGCAGAGATGGAACTGGTCTGAATTTTTCACGATCAGTCGACTTTTTTTCGCCTGGTCACTTGTAGACTGATCAGACTAAAATCCATACGGACACTCCACTGGCAAATAGTCGTACTTTTCTATCTGAGGATAATGATATTCGATGTAGTCAAGTTTCAACAAAGTTTCATTACACATTATCTATGATATAATAAGAGCAAACAAATAAATAAGATACACCAGTAATGTTCGGTAGACCAATTACTCTGAAATTTGCATCGATCTCGACCCAGTCCGGTTGGTAACCGGTACCGGTTCCATCTCTGTTACACTGCTGAATTCTTCGATCTATCTCGCTATAAACTAAAATATAAACAAAATATTTTCGTTTAAGTACGGAATCCATCGAGCTGATAGCATATTTGTTACATCGTGACATATATATGCATCTTTATTTGCCTTTACGGTAAATTTTGAAAAATTCCGTTTGAGCATCTACAATTTTTTCTTTATTGTTCTATTCATTTTAAAGTTCGAAACAAAAACATTATTTAATCACTGTGGACCTCATTGTCAGTCGCTTTACAAATTGAATCATTATGTTCTGCTGCTTTTTTTTCTCTTTCATGTAACTTCATGCTTTTGCTATTGTAAACGAAAAAGCTTATCGTATTGGAAGTTTCTACAGCTCTAATAAGGGAACATAGTTAAGTGTCAAATTGTTCTTGAGTCAAGACTATGTATATCACGTAGATTCTAATCAACGACAAATACTTTGAAAAAACTCAGGCTATTAGTTTATCGTCGCCAAGGTATTGTCTGTTTACAATATGTTTTTTAGTACAATGTCGTGGTCTCAATCAGGACCATAAAAAAAACTGAGTTTCGAATTTCGACCTCAGACTTTGCATAGAAACAGAACTTAACAGGAATAGCTTATTGTGAAAGCTTCGGATTTTTTTGATTGCTTCTATTCTGAAATATGAACGCCGAGACACACCTGCGTGTATGAGTGAAGTTAAAAATGCGCTTTCACCATAGTCGTATCTTAGGATAGAAAAACAAAATGGTCTCAAACTGTCAAAATTAACTACTCTCGTCAAGATTTGTCTCTGTACAAAGTTAAAGGTCGACATTCCAAATTCAGTTTTCTTAATGTCCTTGAATAGACCACGACACTACTTAAAAATAGCTTAAAAATGTAATAGATCGACAGTAATAAAATAGTAGCGCGAATTTTTTTCAACGTATTCATCGTTCATTAGGATCTACATAGTTTCAGCTCATCAGCAATGTGACATTTTGGATATGTTCTTTCGTGAGTATTGTGATCATAAAACTAGTGTTAGAAGAATGATATGCTTTTATCTTCAATATATTTGTCACATATGTAAATAAATAATAGAATAAAGAGAACCAAAAAAAAAAGTAGATAAGCTATATGAAGCGACTAAACGTATGAAAACAAACACACAAACTGAAGATAAATAAAGCCTTGAAATAACTTTTTTTCTTTTATTAATTAACTAAAAAAAACATGAATGATTATGTAGCAGGTTTATTTGCTGGTAAGATGGCATCAGTTAAAATCATTTTATTGAAGTCTTTTCTTATGTAGAAAAAAAAATAATTTTGTAGGTATTACAAGTACATTTATAGTCCATCCAATCGATACACTTAAAGTTACTATGCAATATCATTCAACACATAGTATATCTAAAGCGATTAAATTGGTTATTAAATTAAATTCAGTGAGAGAGTATGCTAATTATTTTATCGTTGTTATTAAAGATTATTTAAGTGTAGATACAAGGCTTTTATCGTGGTGTACCATCTCATTTACTTGTTCAATGTGGATCTCAAACATCATTCTATGGTTCATATGGACATTGTCTTCGTTTCTTAGGATCAGATCGTGATAATCCGACACAAATCTCATTATTACATAATTTTATTGCTGGTTCTTTTGGTGGTTTTATACAAGCATTTCCATCAAGTATACTTGAATTATTTAAAATTCGTTTACAAACAACAAGTACATCATTTTAAAAAACCAATTTTCAAAAATAAAAACATTCTTTTGTTTAAGGCCACCAACAAGAAGCAAACGCTTATCAACTATTTCGTCATATCATTAGAACAGAAGGATTTCGAGGTCTTTTTCGTGGTTTACATGCAACTATTTGGCGAGATACACCTACTTATGGTAAACTATATTCCATTGTCATTTAAATGTCTACCTAGTTTTTTTCAAAGTACTCAGCTTTATTGAGTTCATACTTTCATTCAAGTCATTTTAATATTATTATTATGAAAAAAATTTTGCTCAAATAATAAATCATTATTAGTTCTATACTAACCAGTATGAGACCAGACGTATACTAGTGTCTGTTAGAATCAATATTTTTATTGATTCTAAAGTATAAAAATATAGTCATGTTCGATCAATATTGATTGGAAGCATAATACTAGTATAAAATTACTAACATAAAACGAAGCAATATAGAAAAAAAAATAGCAATCGAAATTTCTTCTGTAAGAGAGAGTTAAGGTCGATAATAAAATTACTTTCATAAGTTGTTTATGAAATAATGCACTATATTTTGAAACAAATATTAATGAAAATTTAAAATCTATTTGTTGTAAAACGTCATGTTTATAGATGGAATCAGATAAATATTTCATTATAATCAATAAACTAGAGAACATTATCTATTTATCTTAATATAAACACGTCTATCTAAGGCAACAAGAACTCATGTCTAGCGTTTCGCTTTTTTTGTCGACAGTAAAATTTCAGAATCTTATACATAAATGTACTTGTCGAACTAACGAAGGAATGTTACTACCTGTCAAATCATTTGTGAGTTGGAACTATGTGCATCATGTAGGCTCTAATACTCTATGAATACTCTAAAAAGAGTTCGGATAAATAGCTTATTACTTTCGACATGCTGTATTTTCTAGCCAAATGCCGTGGTTTTCCTTAGAAATACCAAGAAAACTAAATGTCGAATTTCAACTTGAAAGATTGCGTTTGAAATACGTCCTAACAAGAATATTTTATTATAAAAGTTTCAAAACTACAGTATCTCAGTAGCAATAAGCTATTAGCCTAAAATATTTTTCTATTATTCTTAGTACATACGAATCTAAATGATGCAGGTAATCTTAACACGAAAGTGATTTGACATTTAAAAACTTTTCCTCATAAAAATAAATATTTTCTATAAGCCATGATATGATCTTGAAACAACTTCTTTCTTCGTCTTTTCGTATGAGAACTCATCGATATTAGTGAAATGAAATAAATAATAAAAAAAATTTTTTTTTTTTTTTCATAGGTATTTATATGATGATTTATGATCCATTAAAAGCTTATTTACACTTATCAACAAATAGTGAATTACTCGGTGGTTTTATATCCGGTGGAACTGTTGGTGTTATTAGTTGGACAATAGCGTGTCCAGTGGATATATGTAAGAGTAAACAACAAGCTGGTTATACAAATAAAAGCTTATTTAAATGTTTATTGGAAATTTATCGATTAGAAAATGGTGTGCATGGATTTTTTTGTGGGTGGACTGCAGTAGCTACACGAGCATTTTTACTTAATGCAGTATCCCTTTTGGTTTGGGATCGTACTCGACGTTGGTTTTGATATTAAAAAAAAACTCTTTGCTTTGTTTTATTTCATGAAAAGAAAATAAAAATAAATAGTAGTTAATGTTTTTTGTCTATATAGTTCATAGAATTAGATATAAATTCATGTCATAGTCGATAACATTGTAGATGTACTTGCTAATGTTGTCCGATGTTTTCGATTTGTTTTTTGAAGATGATGATGATGATGATGCCGATAACGACGATTTTTTCGACTCGTCCAAATATCTGGAAATGCATATATACTTAAAAATGATGAAAAACAACATGGAACATATGTAAATGCATCAGCTATTTGTATACACCAAGGCAAATTTATCAATGGCCAAAAATTATATAAAGAATTTAAATTTGTTAAAACATACGGTACAAGGCCAATTAAATAAATTAATGAAAATAATATCATTTGCCGTGTTAAACGTTTACAACGACGCCATTTTTTTGATGGAAAACGAAATGTTCTAAGACGTAAACGTATAATACGTATTAATAAGAGAAATGTTACTACAATAGTAATAAATAATGGCAAAATTAAGCTTAAAATCGTATCAATTAGAAAAATAATTTTTTCATTTTCAAAACATGGACGACATTGAAATGTTTCATGTAATTTTTTATCATATGTACATGTTGATGCTAATATTGAATACCATGCTAATGGGAGACCTAATGCAAGAATACTTGGTATTAATTTATATTTAAATTTTGATTGAAGTTTTTTAATATGTATTGGACCAAATATAAGTATATGACGTTGTATTGATGCCCAACATACTAAAAGACCAAGACAAACGATAGATGCATAATCAACAATTATCCATAATTTACATATTGATGGTGATAATGGAAAATATGAATTAAAATATAATTCAATTAAAAAGAACGGTACACATGTACATGTAGTAAATAAACTAACATGAAGTATTGTACGAAAAGCAAAAACACTTAATTTTGTATTAGCATGAAGTCGATATATAGCAAATAGATTAATCAATACACTTGGGATACTCACACATATTGTCACAATAAAAAGAATAATATTCATATTAAATTTTGAGTTTCGATCAAAATTTGTTAAAGTTTCGTTGAATGATAATAGGATCTGCTTTGTCGAATTGTCAAAATGTATGAGCAACATCTTGTCTCTCATTATGACAATTAATGATGTTGCTCATTTTAATCATAGTGTGTTTCTCTTTCTCTCTTTTTCTATTCTTTCTCTTTGACGGTCGCATGCATTTCCTCTAAAATAGAATACTAGCGATATGAATATTATTTTTTTTTTGCCTGTCGAGCATCGTCTCACGTCTATTGTCAATTGTCAACAATAAAAATAGCATATGCGATGGTAAATGAAAGACACAAGACAACAAAATGATTGAAACTCGACAAGTACATTGAATGTATTAACAATAAATACTGAAAGCCCAACAAAATGCACGTATCTTCAATAACAGAATATCACCAGAAATTAACATTTGTTTGTCCAGAATTTTTGTGACTATCATTGTATTGTCGTTTAATATTTACTGTCTTGTTTAGTATAAATTGAATAAATTGAACAATAAAAATGGAAGAAACATTGAAATATTTAGTCACAAGGACTAATATCATCAATGAATGTAATTATCGGTCTAACAATAATAAAATAAATTAAGAATACAATCTCTTTGTTTTTAAATTTTTTCTTCAAGGCTTTTCAACTTTTTTTCAAAGAATTATTAATCTCTATAGTGTCGTAATACAGTTCAAATAGAATAATAAAATATTTCTCAAAAGTTTCCCGTGTCAAAAAATAGTGTATTTAATTGGCATATAGAACAATTATGCCTTCTGGCAATATAACAACAAATCAAAAAAAGAAAACATTGACAATCTGATGGTATTTTTGTTCTAGAATTTGACGGAATTGGATATGAGCTTATTCTAGTATCTTGCACATCTATTACTCTAAGCTAATTATCTCTTTCTAATTGATAGAATGGAAAAATTCAAAAGAAAGCCGACCTATCATAATAGATAGATCCATGTTTAAATACTTAATTATTAATTATCAAATGTTAGTATCGAACGCGATCTTTAACATTAGTCCAAAAAACTTTTTGTTAATTATGTGAAAGATAAGTTAAATCAGAATCGCTGCTTTTTTCTATGTATATTTATGGATACTGTTCTTTAAAAATAATAAGGTTTAGCAAGAAAAAAAAAGCAAGATGAAAAATCTAACAACTCTCTTTCTTTTCATTATGCAAATATTTTTCAACATATAATCAATGGAAAAAGAACTTTTTTGAAAAAGCTACTACAATGAAAACACTTTACGATCAATAGAATATTGTTAAAAATAAACAGTTGCCATAGACGTTCTTAGTGGTTTTTAATTAATGTTCATTAGAAAAATAAAATAAGAGCCTATTTTGTATAGCTTTTAATAGAACAGATCTTCAAACACTGCACTTGGAAATTTAATTAGAAACTAAAAAAAATACGTCATATCAATGACATTCATCTTTTTTTTCTTCTTCGTTTGATGATTATATTTTAGCAGTGTTTTTTTTCTTATCTTTTAATACTTGTGTTGTGTTTTATGAACAAAACAAATAAACAATGAATTATTAAGTCAATGCTATTTCTTTAATATTCACTGAGATAGATCTGATGGAGGTTGACTTTTGAATACAAAACGATTTTTTTTTCTTTGATAACCATAGTGCCGAAAAATTATTATGTTAATAACTTTCGAATTTTATTCATATTGACCTTGAAAGTATGCTAATGATGCCGGTCACTACATCTGTGTTACAAAATTTCTCAATAGAATATAAAAGCAAAAAATAAAAAATTTCAGCAAGAATATTCAACTAAGTAAAAGAGAAACAACAGAAAACGCACATAGAATAAAAATTACGTTAACAAATAAACAAGAAGAAAACGAGAATAATATTAGCATTTCTATGGAATGAAAAGAATTTATGTTTTGTCAAATCTTTTTCAAAAAAAATCAGCTGATGAACAGATTTGAAGGATAAGCTTTGATGAATTTTTTTTTATTGAATTATAATATTGAAAAATAAAATATTCTTGTTAATTTCAAGTCTAATATTTAACATTATGTCAATAATAAGATTAATGATAGCAAGTTTAGAAATGGTAAATAATATTTATTATTTCAAATTCTAATTTCTATAATCTAACTAAAACATACTATTTTCTGGTAAATTCTAGACTAATTAGTAAACAAGAAAGATGATGAAATCGAATAAATAATCAAGCAAACTGCTGTGTTCATTTTTTCAATGTCTTTTGTTCGTTGACAATTCTAATTCCCAGTTTGCTTTCTCTTAGTTACTAATTATAATAGCATGAAAAATGGAAAAATGTTATTTGACGAACATGAGAAAACAATTTATGATTCAAACACAAAAAAAAAACACCAAAATCATCTAATAATACATCTGATCTGTTGATAGAGCAAGAAAAGTCAAATAATACAAAGCTAACGATGTCAAAATGTAGATCTTTCAATAAATTTATGTGACAAAAAAAATCAGGCGATAATTGTAGTCGATACCAGAAACTATTTCCGCATTCGTGTTCTTTTTCTGTATGATGATAAACAATACTATATAGAAATGTCAGAAGTTGATAAATGAACCTCATTAATGAAAGACACTGACAATAAAGAAAAAGAATAGTTTAAGGACAAAAACATGGCTCATGTAGAATATTCACCTATAACCTACTTATGTTTGTTATACATAATTATCAAACCATGTGACCATACTACTGAATTTTGAAAATACTGCAGAACATAAGGAACAATATAAGCCACTGTTTTTCGTTTCGATAATGGAATGAAAAGAATTGTTTACCTTACAGAGTTTATTACCTGAAGTTATCTATGAAAATTACTGATCAATTGATGAAAATCTCGGAATCCTTTTTATGCTTACTACTCGTATTTTATTTGTATCATTTCAAACAGTGTAGATGATTCGAATACAGAGTTCTAATAAACACAAATTATCATCAACAAAATGAATCGTTTTCAATTCAATGAATAAACCAAATAGAAACAAAATTAATTTTTCATCATATTAGTGTTCTTTAATTTTTGTGTTACTAAAAAAAAACATTCGATCTTCCTAGAGTCTTAAATAGTTGACTTCTTTCTTCATATTAAGAATTTATCTTTTGTTGAATTTGAATTTTAAGTCAATCTTTAGATGTAAACAGATGAACAATTCTTATTTGATCAAATGATATAAGAAGTTTTAAAAGTTCGTTTTTTTTTTAAAGTTTATATCATAAAAATGATAAAAATAACACGTTAAAATGTCTAAACGAAAAAGAGATGACAAGATCGATGTATCATTTAATAATACATATGTTGTTACATATAGAATATCAATCATCTATCGGTAATCAGATTCATCGATCATCATTGTTAACATAAGTATTAAAAAATGAGAATGATACAAACATAGAATTAAAAATAAAATTTGCTTATTTAACATGCCATAAAATTGCTTTTTTTTCTCTTTTTTTTTTTATATTTGATGAATGGTGTTCAATGTAAGTGTACATTAACCTTGTCGCTTTACTCGATGTCTGCTCTATACGATACACGTAGATATATGTATCTACGAGAAAGGGTTGTCATTTACACTTATTCAGTCTCGATCATACTTATCGATAACAAACGATCTTTTTTTCTCTGTTTCAACAATTTTAAAATGTGTGCATTGAAGCATGACCAACACGTAGAATGAAGATTGATTGGTCGGATGTCGAGATAAAAAATTCTTCTCTTGGTTAATTTAGTTTTATGTGATATTTTAATGGTTCAGATTATTTGAAATTCTAGTGATATTATTGTCTATATTTATTAAGAATAAAATCGAAAAATACAAACAAATGGTTTCACGTTTTTCTGACCTAGAACGTAAAACATTACTTGTACAATTTATTGCTGTTGAACCATTAACATTTTATTCGACGTCAGATGGTACTGATCTTGTTCAAGATATTTTACGAGTTCATTTAGCACGATCAGATGCAGATATATTTGGACAAGAAGGTTCATTATCAATTGATGAACTAGGAGAATTTCTTACATTTGAACCAATAGATACAAAAAATCGTACATTACATTTACCCATAGAACATTTAGCTTATTGTGGTGCCTTAAGACGTATGCGTCGTGAGTTTTTCGATCCACGAGAACCAGAACAAATTCATCGACGAGAATTTGAAAATGTTGACTTAGCTAATCGTTTTGCACAATTTATTATTGGTCCACCAATATTTGCTACTGTTTTTCATGGTTTTGATAATGCACTATGTTATATATTTGTAACACAAAGTGCTGATGATTCTTGTTTTTTAGTTATGAAACTTATGCGTGCTTTTAAATTACATGAGCAACAATTAGAACAACGAGGACAAATAAATCAAGCTTATCCTTCATTTTCTCCATTGCATAGTGGTTGTAGGTCACCTTTACCAGTTGAAATCAAACGAGAGAGTCCATTACTTCAAACATCACACGGATTTTTTACTGATAATAGACAAACATTGTCATATCCTTTGGTTCAACGAGTACCAAGTGCACCAATAAATTCATGTGTTCAAGATCCACGACAAGATGAAGTAATTCAACGACTTCTTTCAAATCCAAATTTCGAAGTTGTTAATCAACCAACACCGTTCATGTCTCAACGTATTGATGATATACCAATTATATCTGCACCATTACCTAGAGTAAGTCATTCATGACATCATATCTTTTAATTTCATTTTATTTAATTAACACAATAGAACTATAATGTATAAGAAATAATGTGCTATAAATATCGCCTTCTATAGGTCTATTAGTCTTTCATGGATTTGTTACAGTCCGTTTACCAGTATCTACCCATGATATTTGTAAATTTCTCTATTTTGTATGAAAATTTTATTTTACGATGTACTTCGTTTTTGTTTTCTTGAAATAGTTGGACTCCATTTTTTCCACTTCTACTAATTGCTTAGTGCCTAAGCAAATCCTATTTCGTTGGTATTTTCTTCCAAAGGAAAGAGAAACAAAAAATTATGCCATTTAAAATTAATTAGAATCTATTTTAACAACGGTTTTAATATGAAATTTAAAAGGATTTTCATATAAATTCATCTTATGCTTTGAATTTTTAGAATCGACGATCTTCTCCAAATATATTTAATAGCAGTGGTGGTTCTTCCAATAATATTCAATTTCTGGGTAGATTAACATCTCCATCAACGCGACCACCTTCGCCGCCTATTCTTGGAATTTCCGATAAGACTAGTATTCCAAATTCATCTTTAGGTAATACTAATCCACAAGTAATCTACAAACCAAATAATCAAGAAGTAGTTTATAAACAAAATATAATGGTCCGTTGGCTAAAACCACCAACACCACCTCCACCTGCGCCGATTATTATACGAGGTAAATTTTATAATATATTGTTAAAAAAATGACATAAATTTTAATAATAGAAATTCGAGCTCCAACAGAAACTCAACCACCAATTGTTTGTCGACAAATGCCCCCATGTCCACCAACACCACCACCAATTATTATCAGGTTAAAAGATTTTACTTTTCTTTCTCAAAATATATCATTATATTATTTTTAAAGAGAAAAACCACCACCATGTTTTTCATCTGGACCACCTGTAATTATAGAAAAACGCTTACCACCAGTTACAGCTCCTCGACAAGGTAAAAATATTTTATAACATTTTCTTATTTTCTTATTTTGAAAATATACTTCAGTTATTGTTGAACGATATCCAGCTCCACCTACAAAACCACCAACAATTATTTATGAAAAATATCTACCACAAACACAACCATCACGTCAAATAGTTGTTAAACGTGAAATGAGTCGACCTACTGCTGGATATCAAGCAGCACAACAACAAATTCCAGGTCGACATATAGTTAGAGAAATCGTTCGACAAATCCCACAAGTATCATCAACAACTCAACCAACTTTAGTTTATACACCACAACAACAAACAACAGCTCAACCAGCTTTATTTTGTATGCCACAACAACAAGCAAATGTTCAACCAACTTTAGTTTGTGTACCACAACAGCAAACGACAGCTCAACCAACTTTAGTTTGTGCATCACAACAGCAAACAACAGCTCAACCACAAGCTGTTCAACAATTACTACCAGTATTTGCTACACAACAAGTTAGTTTTCCTTTCATACAAAAAAAAAAACAACCTACAATAATAATATTTGTCTATTACAAAAATACCGCACGTACAATCAATTTTCTATTCATAGATGACATTGAGAGAGAAAAATAAAACAGAGGAAAAAAACTATTCTGTTTCCATAATGCACTGAAAGATAATTGATCAGAATCCTATGTCAAATTAATTTTGTTAACAGGAAAGTAGCTTGATTTATTTTAATTGAAAGAAAAAACAATATTCTTATCTGAAAATGGAACTTTGCAAATGATCACATTCCTGACAAATAAAATTACTCGTTTGACATGGTTTTTTTGACCTATATTTCTTTTTTTTTTTTACTTATGCACTAGTTGATTCTATTTATAAATATGTGAAAGTAAATCTCTCAAGTCATTGCTGACATATTATATTTTTATTTTTAGAATGTAGTTCAACCTCAAGGTGTTCGTATTATTCGACAAGTGATTGGTCCACCACAGGTCGCTATTCAACAACCTCAACAAGTTTATTCAACAACGTGTTCACCTATGATTCAAGCAGTACCAACAACTGTTATGCAATAGTTATCTTCTAAAATTGCAGAGTTTTTCGTTATTGTAGAAGATAAATATGTTGGTTTTTGTTTCTAAAAATATGTCAATACGTGAGCGTCTCTTTTACGTCCTTTTTTATTCGTTGTATTGTGTGTCGTTCATTATTATGAGAAAAAAAAAAAAGAAGCGATAGGAGGAAAAAAGTGAATCTTTGTTATATTACTATCTTATTTTTCCAATATGATTGATAAATCAAAAGATGCATGATTGATTTTATTATAGAACAAACAAAGATGGAGATGAATATCAAGAAAATCTATTATTCAGAGAAAACAAGACAATGAAAACAAAGAAAGACCGAAAGACAATATGATAATATAAAAATGACTTATGCTCTTCTCATTTTTTTTTCTGATTGTTAATTAGTTTATCCAATATTGAACTTTTTATTTTGCCCATCACTGCATCTTAACCACTAGAAGTCTGTAAGTAACGCGATATTTAATCATCATTTAGGATGTCAGTAATTAAAATAGCTAGTTGTATTTATGTGTCTGATATTTGTACATGGTGAGAGCGCATCGAACTTTGTGAGAGTATGGATGATAAAAGACTTTTAAACTTCTTCTTCAAAGTAACATTTGCAAAACACCGTCGAAGCCAACACGAACAATCGGTCATTTTTTTGCAGAGAAAATTTGCACCACAGTTTAACTCAGCATCAATATTGCATTGAGAAGCATGACTTCAAGACTGCTGCAATAAAAATATGGCGAAGAAAGTATTGAATCTAGACAAACGACTCTCCAAAAGAAATGACACTGATAAATTTCATAAAAGTTCAAAGTTCTCTCGATTCGATAGTTTTTTATTTTCATTTTATTCATCAAGAATTTGCGGAAAAGTTATGCATACTTTTTGAGAAAGACTAGCTAGCTTGTTTGAGACATAGCATTTTTTCTGTTAACACTTGCAAGAGGTCGAAAAATGGGCTGTTTTAAATTTTACATTGTTGAAAGTTGACTTTAATTAAAAATTATTATCAAATTCGAAATCAGCATTCAAAGATTAAGTGCTGGCAACGCAGAATTTCAGTAGATTTTATTTTTCATTTCTGTATAGATGGAGTTTCAGAGAACGTGAAGAGTAGAATACGAATAGGTATTTTCTATTTCGAGTGTGCCACTCTCTTGTTGAAAACAGTTCAAGAAGTCAATAAGGTCAGATGTATGAACGAAAATCTTTTTTCTTCTCAAAACATTTCGACTTTTTATTATCTATATTTTCTAAACGCTTTGAAAGTATCTTATGTTGATTCAGCATAACTAAGAACATGTATCTATAGGAGTTCTTAATAAAACTAATTTAGTCTTTTGTGAAAAAATATAAGATCAAATGTTTCACACTTTCGGGATCATCAGATCTCCGTGTAGAGAAATATTTATTGATTTTTATCAAATTCAATTTTATTTTTGTGAACATGACAACAATATGTCATTGTAGTGGCAAAAACAGTCAACAATGAATTTGTAATTTACAGTTTTTCTTTTATCACAGCTCAATGGAACAGCAAAATATATAGTATGTTCGCAATCAACATGAGAAATTACATCCGAGCTCATGCACTTTAATAAAAATCTCAGGCAAAACTGCTGAAGAGAATACAGCTGCAGTGTGTGTGATAAACAAATTTCGTTAGATTCTATGAGTTCAGTTGTGGTTTCTCATGTTAATTGCGAATATACTATATATTTTTGCTGTTCCGTTGAGCTGTAATGAGAGAAAAACTGTAAATCACAAATTCATTGTTGATTGTTTTGTCACCACAATGAGAACTTGTTGCTATGGTCACAACAATAAAACTAAATTTGATAAAAATTAATAAATATTTCTCTACGCTGAGATCTGATGATGCCAAAAATGTAAAATATTTGACCTTATGTTTATTAACAAAAGGCTAAATTAGGTTTATTAAAAACTCCTATAGACACATCTTCTTAGGCTATGTATTATGGATGAAAATTTTTTCTGAAGTCTTATTAAGTCTAAGCAAATGATATTTTACTACTGAATTTTTTATGCTGAATTAAAATAAAAAAATCTTCAAAGAGTTTCGAAAATATAGATGATAAAAAGTTGAAATATTTTGAGAAAAAAAAGAGATTTTCGTTTAAACATATGACATTATTGACTCTTTCAACTTTCATCAGCAAGAGAGAATGATACAATTGAAAGAATTTTACGTTGATAGTATTGTCTTTTATTGAAAGGAAGAAATCTACCATTTTTCACATTAATTTTCATAGTGTTTTTTTTTTTGTTCTTAAATTCAATTTGAAAGAAAAGTTTTAAAAATTTTCTTGAGATCAATATTTTTAGTACAGCTCGTTAGATTCTTTCTAATCATCTAAAAATATCGTAGGAAAAAGCACTACTTTAAATTAGAATTACTGACATCACATGCTTTTTAAAATTACCATTTATTTATGGATATATGAACAGATTAACTTGAATGATGTTATTTTCATCAGTTTCTCGAACAAGCCCTTCCTATTTACATCAGAACACGCATAAAAGCTAATTTAATTCGCAAAAATATTGATTATGTAAAAAAAATAGTACCTTTGATCGGAAAAAATGTTGATTAGTGAAAAAAACGCTTTACTAATTAGGCATTCTATGCATTAATGAAGCGAACTCGTTGTAATTCAATGTAAATTATGGTTAGAATAACAAAATATGTTTTCATGTTTGTTAGTAAATATAGAAAATGAACTTAAACCATACTGCGTTGGTTTTTCTAGAATAGAACTAAGAACAACAGTGATTTATATATATATATATATTGCAGAAGTTAATGTCGACTGTTATAAATCTCCTATATGTGATAATGAAAAAAACATTTTAATTCAATTTAGAGCAAAAGAAAAAAAAGAGAATGCTTGATTCATGTTTAGTAATGTTTTTTTCTTTTCTTTACTTATTTTCTTTTGTATCAATGAATGGCGACGTAAGAAAACGAGATAACAGTTATATCATGCAATGACATTCTTTCTTTAGTAATGAGTAATTCATGCTAAATTATATGTAAGCGTTCATGATAAATTTCCTATTGCATTCCTTAGTTGTAAGTCAAAGAAATTTAATCATCTTATTTCATCTATTTGTGTCATGAAGTAAATCATATCATATAGTTCTAAAGTTGATCTAGTTAAATTTTTTGTGTTAATAAAATGTTCATTAGAATAAACAATATGAATAAATTATTAGATGAGTTAGTCGTTTTTCTTGTTAATTGACAAGATGATGTATACGTTATGACATTATTTAGAAGAAATAGTTAATGTCCAAGCTAACTCATTTCCAGATGTTTGCCCTTGTTAATTTTTATCTCCTTCGTAGATGGGATATTTTATTAAACAAAACAAAAACGAATAGAAGTAATGACAAGTTGTATTTATTTTTTCTATTAACTATCATGAAAAAAAAAAATATTTTCTTTCCACTTCCTGGATTATTTTTGTCAAAGTCAGCGGAAATCTTTAATATACGGTATATATGTATAGTATTTACTGTTAGACTAGTACGGTACTTATCTACTCAACAACAGTTAACAAATTATGTCCCTTTTTTTTTTCTTTATTTGCATGTATGAATAGACAAGAGAATTCTTTCGTTTGTCAGCTCAGAAGAATCTATTTGAATAATTGTTAAACAAGAAAAGAAAAATTATGACACTGAATGACTATGAGCATTATCACAAAGGGGGAAACTACAATTTTTTTTGTGCTAACTTTTTTTTCTCAAGTGTAGATTTAGTGAAAAAGTGGCTATTACATTTCTCTTTTATTTGTCACACAGAGTAGCATATAATGAATGATAAAGACAACACAGAGATGGATACTAAAGAAACATAATTCGATCTTCAAGGTATATGTAAGAATTAATGGTATAATTAGTGCTTGGGCGATGATGCTTTGACTAATTAAATAATATTCAAATTTACATAGTTTGTTCGAATGAGGTCTAGTCACTTTAGACTTCGTCCAATCATACTTTTATTTCCAGTAAAAGCTAGTTCAAGCCTAAGCGTTCAAAGTAAGTATGCGGACTTATTTGTTTACTAAACGGTCATCATTAAAGTTGACATATTCTCTTTCATGTCCTTATTTTTTCTATTTAAGATATATTCTAAGTAGCTCTCTTTCATTCTCTTTGATCTTTTTTCTCTGAAAATTAATCATCATTCATCATTGCTAATGGAAGAAATAATGCATGTAGAAAATGACTTAAAAGCAAATAATGTTTCCTCATTTCTATTTATATCTTATCCATCAACATTAATTATGCAATGTAAACAACTTCTAACACTTGTTTTAAATCGAACATCATTTTCAAATAATCAACAGTTAACACCACCTTATATACGACAATTATTAGCTAGACAAAACTTAACATTACGTTTTCCTAAAACTATGTCGGAGTGTATTCTTGAATTAAGTCGTCTTATGAACAGTACAAATGAATTTGATATATCTAACAAAAAGGTTCATCAAAACTATGGTATACAAGAACGTTCACGTTCATTAATCGTATTTGTTTTTCTTATTGCATTTGTTTCGTTCATATCAATTCTTGGAAATTTATGTTTAGCCAAGGTCATTTATTCAAAACGTTTTCGTTTATCACAAACAGATAGAATCGTTTTATGTCTTGCATTAAGTATAAAAAAAAATATTCAAGATTAAATTTTCTTTTTATTAATATTATCATTTTTTTTTGTTTAGGCGAACTTTGTCTTGTTTTGATTGATTCACCAACAGAAATTTATCGATTTCTGTCATATTCATTTTCACAAACATGGCTTTGTCGTTTTCACACATTTTTTGAATCGTTATTTTCATCATGTATAATCTTTTATCATTTATTAGGTATGTCAATTATTTTTTATTTTATCAATAGATCTATTCTTTGATATTAAAAAATAGCTTCTATATTTTACCATACGTAATTTTATGCATCCATTGCAGCTTTTATTCTGTTGTTTAATATATTAGATATTAATGGCCTGATATATAGGAAATGTCATTTCTTGTTTAACTTTTGAATTATAAAAAAAAAGCCAACGCGTTCATCTATGAAAAGCTCTTTTTTTTTCTCTACAAGAATAACCTAGAAATAGTTTTGTTTAACGTAGCATAAAAACTTGAATGCTTGAATATTTTTAATATCTTATAACACTTCAAAAATAAGAGTCAATCTTCTAATATACAACCTGCATTGGTATTTTTCTTTTCTTTTAATGACTTGATTATTGTATATGAATTGGATTTTCCTACTTGTCTATGCGTCCGATTACAATACAAGCTAAATTTATATTACATGAATGAATCTTTTATATACCGAATAATTTTATTAGGTTCGAGGAATATATTCATATGCAATTTGATCCGAAAATCATTCTTTATTCTTAAAACGACATTTAGCATGTTTCAGAAGTTTTAAACACAAATAAAGTACTTAATATATACAGAATGACATTTTTATTGTATGAAAACATACCTTTCTCTGTTATAGAAAATATTGAATTGAAATAATAAATATTGAGAACCAAAATGATAGACACCGAAACTTAAGCAGAGAATATATAAGCACGAGAATGTTTAGTACCGAAAAATAAAGCATGCAAAAAGATCAAGATGACCATAATGTTCATTGAGAGATAAAATGCATAACTATTATATTTAACAAAAAATAATCACTTGAACTAATATTCAATTGTAATATATATTGAAATGTTTCGATGTTAATCTTTTCTTCACTCACACCTACACTTTAGCTCGTTAATAGATGTCATGCTTATGTTATTTTTTTTTGCACTTAATTTTTGCGCTCATTATTCACTGATCCAAATACTTATTTCTTTTATTTAAATGAGAAAAAGTCCAATTCGATTTATAAGGGAAACGCCTTGTCTAAACATCATATAATGAGTGAGAAAGCAAAAAAAGTCGAGCCATTTGAACAATAAATTCCTTTAAAAATTTGTCTAGAATGAAAGAGTGAAACACTAACAATTGTTAGTTCTGATTAGACATAGATATTCTTTTTTGTTTGATTATGCTAGTATATTGAATGAAAAGTCTTAATATAAATTGAATAATCATTTATATAATAGAGTTAGATAGAATATTATTCATTCATTTGAGCAATATTATCAGTAGAAAGAAAGGAAAATTACTTTATTGGGCCACTCAGTCAATCAGAAAAATTTGAAGTACATTCATGTATCTAGCATATATTATCGACTATAGTTTCACTCACAACATTTTTTTACGTAAAGACATGAAAGAAATTCATTAGATATATTACGGATGTCATAAAAAATGTTTATACGTCGTAAATGTTACACCAGAATTGAACTACATTTGCACATGTTTAAAAAAAAATTATTTTATACACATATATCTATATATATATATATTAATCAATATCTAGTGAAAACTGATACTTCACTACAGGAATAGTTCAAAAGAAGGCATATATTAGATAATAAATATTTGTTTTTATGTGCGCGTGACTTTGAGAGAACAATCAATGGAAGAATTAGTTGACATTAATGAGTTTTTCCTTTTTAAGTGTCCGCCGGCGTGATGAACCCTTTGGCGGGCGATGGGACATATATGTCCCACTTTTGTTTTCGAATTGTATGACTATAATAAACTCTTATCCGTTTCAAAATAGAATCTCCGTCGCTGTTTTTTGTATATCTCGAGTCAGGAACAAGCTAGAGATCTGGGATTTTCACCAATGAAAAGCGGAGACTAAGGGACATCTTTCTCTCCGATAATGTGTAAGAGAAATTCCTTTTAAAACTAATTATTCTCGAAAAATATGTAAAAGAAGGGATGAAAATTATCTGTCATCTAGATAAAAGTTTGATTTTGACCTTTGATTTAAATAGAGAGACTTCAGATCCATAGTTCAAGATACAATGCAAATGGTTCTCTTATTGCATTCCAACATTGAGCAAATCGCATCATATATTTATATGCGCAAATAATAGGAATTTTTGCTAATTTTTTACTAAACTTTCTCACTTTTTATTATAATAGCTCGACATTGCGATGGAAATGTGATGAAAAAAAAGGAAGCGTATTATATCTTGACCTATAGATCTGAAGTCCCTCTATCTAAATCAAAGGTCAAAATCAAACTTTTATCTAGATGACAGATAATTTTCATCCCTTCTTTTACATGTTTTTCGAGAATAATTAGTTTTAAAAGGAATTTCTCTTACACATTATCGGAGAGAAAGATGTCCCTTAGTCTCCTCTTTTGACTGGTGAAAACCGCAGATCTCTAGCTTGTTCCTGACTTGAGATATTCAAAAAACAGCGACGGACATTCTATTTTGAAACGGATAATAGGATCAATAACTTTGGTAGAAAGAACGATGACACTGCAGTGACCTCGTTGCTTATTTTGTATAGTACGTGGTTGTTGCACCATCCCTTTAATACAAAACAAGGAGTATGAACGTGGATGTGAATGTGAATCTTTTATGCATAACCAAGAACACTCATAACCTCGTGCGCGATGATCTAGATCACAATCTATTTGACAGCCTCATCGACGTCGACAGAACTTAGCTATCCAAAATTCGCCCGTCAAAGGGTTAAGATGACATGTAAATGAACATATATGCGTCCAATTATTATACGGAATAGAAAAGAAGATCTACAAGTATATTTTTTTGAAGTACTTACTTGTGCGTCATAGTCAGCAATTTTGTGACCATAATTCGTATGAGTATACACTACACTATGATAGAAAAGCAGAACCCATCTACTTCAATTTTGTCTACTGACTATTAAACATTTTTCTATCGATCCTCATATACGATGAAAAAGACAAGACAATGGAGGCGTTGAAGATTATAATAAGCGTGCTTCATTCCTGCTTGACAACAAATGTCCTACATCATACTTGTGTGCTTGCTTTTATTAGAACATTGTCATGGGTAGTACTCTATGACTAACAAATCATAAAGTATACCATCATAGGTTTATCATATACAAAAAAAATATATCTATTACATATTGTGTTTTACGTATTAATTTGAAAAAAATGTTATCAGACAGTTTCTCATTGAAATTTATTATGTTTATATAACTATATGATGCGATCTGAGAAGAATAGATCATTTCTATAAATTCTTAAATAATGATTTTTTTATTTACCTTTATAAAAACTAATGTTTTCATAAAAAGAAATCAATATTTCACTGTTAATTGAACGGTTATCTTTATCTCATTTCGGACAATGTCAAAATCCATTCAGATCAAAGATTCTTCTAATTCTTTTGGAATCTTATATCGATTAATGAAAAACGATGTTTTTTTTTCTTAATCTTTTCGGTTGTCTTATCGAATTAATATTAATTCCTGAAATATATCTAGGTGTTTCTTTGCACATACAATAGCATGTCATAAACAATTAACTTTGGTGTTTTCCGTTTGATGCATACTGTCGAGGGATTTTTCCTTTACAAACGTAATTTCATCGCAGAATGTTGTTTTCACAGAATGTGTATTCAATAATAAAAAAAGAACGTTGACTTTACGATTGAATTATTTCAAGTTATAAATTGTTCTTGAACTCAGACTCTATGCATAAGATAGAACTCGATGAAATATGAGACATCTCAAAAGTAACAAATTGAATAACAGTATTTCAACCTGGAATTCAGCTCACAGATAGATCTATGGATGAATAGAATATCGTGAAAATTTTATCCCAAAAGAATGTTTCATTCGTGAGAAATTGAATTTCCAAAAATCGGAGATTCTCACACTTTTCGCAGAATACGCTGGATTGTTGAAAACTTAATATCTCGTGAATAAAACAATCTTTTTAACTAAAACTTGCAGAAAATTTTAGTCATCAGTAGATCTATCTGTGAGCTGAATTTCACGTTGAAATATTATCATTCGTTTTATTAGGGCATTCTGTGCCATAGCCTAAAATTCTTTTCAAATGGCTGTGACTTTGGAAGGAATATCTAAGAGTATTTATCCTTTTGAAATGTTTCATATGTCACTAACGTCTGCCTTATGCACAATAATTTATAACGTGAACTGGTTTCTTCATTAGAATGTTGACTTATCCAAGACTAAGTATCAATAATTAAAATATCAACAATCATAATTAATAAATTTCGTCTCTACTAAAAATATTACAGAACTCGTGACCATTTTATTTTCTACACAAGAATGAGTCTTTTTAAATTAACGAGAAATATTTTTCTTAATTACTCTAGAAAGAATTGCTTTTTGTGGACCATTAAACTAAAAACTAAAAGATTCTGTTCTTCAAGTGTTATCGGTAATACAGTTTAACAAAACAAGTATGGAAAAAAAAGCTTTCACTATAAAAGTTCATCTTTGTTTTGCTCATCAAACGATACAATGATATCAACTTGTTCTTGATTACCTAGTAGAAACAGACAAAGATCTAAGCGAAAGTTATTCTTCCATAGTAATTCCGGATCTCACCAAAAAAATTCTACGAGTAGCACAACTGAAGACAGCCTACAAAAATTGATTATTAGATGTCTAAAGGTAGAAAATATAAGTTATAGTTATGCAAAAAATAGTTCATTTGATACTTTTGATTAAAAGCAACACTAATTTCGTAGAAAGTGTAAAACTTGAGTATATTTTTTTTAAAAGAAATGAAAAAAAAAAGATAGTAAAAAGACCAAGTGGAGAAAAACTTTTTTCTTCTATATTTATAAATCGATCCATTCTCGAATTTTGATTTATCATAAAATTTGTTTCCCGCGGAAATTTTTATATCGTTGTGTTAAACTTGAATCAACATGATGTAATTCAGTAATTGCAATCTCGAGTAAAATTGTCCAAACCTTGCGAAACTCGTTGGGAAGCTCTATGAATAGCCCTATAGTTCCATACTATGCTATAGATTGAATTAAATTGAACGTTTGATCTTTTGTAAGATTGAAACTTGAGCAATAATCGAAACTTTCTGGGGCAATAATAGTTATAGGAATCACCATAAATTTTTCAGATTTCTGTTTACTTCAACAGAACTTTGAATGATTTCTAGTATAGAGAGACTATTAACTCTCATAGATCGGTAAACCTACAATTCCTTCCTTTTCACTTGATATACATGTACAGCGATGTCATATAGTGATGCTTTGATACTGAAACTATAGGGAGAAGAGAAAATACTCTAAGAGCGAAGAAAATAAAAAGATCGTAAAGGGTCTACTCTGCATAAAAGCTTAGCCAGTATATATATGGCTCTCGTAGACAAACAGTTAACAATCAAATACATAATTTACTACTGAGAAAGACACATAAAAAAAGTTTCTGTTTTATAAACACTAAGATCTGTTAAAAGTTCAGAAATTAAATAATCATTTAAAGAAAAAAATGAATCGTTGTTTTTTAAATTAGGAGCATTAGATCGTTTCGTTTACATTCACGGTCATGTATTATCAGATAAATCATCATTATCATCAAAATGGTATCGTCGAATATCAACAAAATCAGGCTCAATTATATTATTAATATTACCTATATTATGTAGTTTACCTATAGCTATTTGTAATTTACTTCAAGCACATGTTTTACGTACGTCATCAACAATGAAAATCTGTATTGTACAACATACACATGGAATTTTAATAAGTTTTTTAATATTTTTCTATATATTACCATTATTATTTTCATTTTTTCTTCATGCTAAATTAATCTATTTTATACATGCAAAACATCAACGACGTTATTCAAGACAAAAAAAATCATCAAATAGATTGTTGATGAAACATAATAATACGTCTGCTTCACAAATGATAGTACAGAAAAAAGGATCTGGACAAAATCAAAATGTTTTTAATAATAATCGACAAGCCTTACAACTAAATATAATAAATACAAAAACACTAAATAGAAATATTGCTATGTCTAATAATGATGCAATCATCAATGCAATAGATGCCATCAATATATCAACAGCAGCTGGCCAACGTACTGGAAAACATAATTCATCGAGTTCTTCGGCGTCAAGTCGTTCAACAACTCGAACAGGCTTTACATCACCAGTATCTCCAACTTCACATTATGCAAACAGTACACGAGCGAATGCTAATGCAAAGCGTACAGTATTTTTACTTGTTTTATTACTTTCATTTTATGTTCTCTGTTGGGCTCCATATAATATTTACACATGGCATCATGCTTATCAATTGACAACAAAAACTCAAAATCAAACTTTATCGAATCGTACATTAAGATTTGATTTCAATCAAACAATAGTATCATCAACATATAATCTTCATGCGGATTTACGTCGATTCATATTTATTAATTATTCATTATATCTTTTATCTATGATATCGATGTGTTTTAGTTTTATATTTTATTTCTCACTTAATAAGCAAGCACGTCATGAATTTTCACGTATGATCGCTTGTTCATGTCCACGAATCTTTGTTAATCATTACGAAACACAAAGACAACAATATCCAAGACAAGAGTATATCGGAGCAAGGTGTTTACAATATCATGCAAAATATGAAAATAATTATCAACAGAATAATCAAAGAGTTTTATGTCCACAAAATAATCATGAACAAGTACAATCAATGAAAGTTAATTTTTATCTAACGCTTACACCACCGTCGCCAATACTTGAACAAAATAATGAAAAACATAAATTTTTTGCAACCGTAATTTGACAATGCCTTATAAAAATGAACTAGTCTCATTGAATAGTTGTCATATTCAAAATCATGTAAAATTTATTTTTCGTACTATGAAAAACACAATCTATATTTTCTTTCATTATAAAAATTTATTCATTTCTTCAATAAAAAAGAAAAAGAGAAAAAAGAAAATAAAAAATGATAAAGTTTATAGAGTTGAGAGTTTTTTTTTAAAATTAATACCAATCAGGATGAATAAAAAAATATTCAGGATACACTTTTTTTGTATAATGAAAAAATGATGATGCATTATTTTCGGGACGAACATTTAGTTCCATATCTTCACGTGGATTTATTACACGCCATGTTTGAGATAAATAACGTCGGCCTATTTTATTGTTTTCATTATCATTTACATTTACATTTGCATTATTATCTATTGAATTTTGAGGTTGAACTGTTTCCGTATATTTATCCAACGATGTTGCCGAACGTTTCATATGTTTTTCGGCTTTGCGGCTATTCTTTGTTTCATTTACATCAGGTAATGGAACTGTTATTGGTGTTGCTGATGTTTGAATACCTTTTTCTTGAAATGATGGTGATTTGCGAAAACTAGAATATGTCAACAGCAATTAGGAACAAAAAGTGGCATCTAACCAATTAAGATATTAAAAAATGATTTTTTTTTTTGAATTTCTTTTATAAATCAGATATTTCAGCATATGAACTATTAAGATCAACTATTGATTAAATCATCACCTGTTCGTTTATCGAGTACTGTTAATCAACTTTTGAAACAGTAAACTGAAAAGTTAACAATTTGAACATCGCATATACTTGTCATACTGTTTTCTTTTGGCCAAAAACAAAAATGATAAATAAGAAAAATTTAAAATTTATTATTTCTCAATTCAACTCAATTATATATTTTTTTCTAAAATCTTCTACATCAAAGCTTAATCATCACAAATATACCGCATACTTTCGACATCAATTAAAGCTAAAACTCAGAAATACTTTTACAAAGGCGTCTGCTAACCGATACTTTCACATTTACAATATTACTAATGAATATTTGGTTTTTATTTTTTAATTCAAAATTTCTCCAAGAAGGTCACTTGCGATAATAGTATGTTATTTTTCACCCATAGATTCGTTTAAAAGCCAATAAAATGTATCCTTTTTTCTATTTATTGATCTAATTTTCTATTCTTTGACATTGTATGTGTTTTCAATGGCTTCATGAAAAAAAAAATTCCATGTTAGTTTTGTTAAATGGAGTAACGTTTAAGATTAGTAACAACATTAATGCAATTACCTTTCTAATGATTCAAGAATTTCTCCAAGATCACGTTTCGATGCTCGACTTTCATGTCCACCATTGTTTGACAATCGTCGTTGCGATGAATAATTTGATGTATTCATGACAGCCGTATTTACTCGGCCAGGAGATCGTGGACTAGGTGTTTTTCGATGTCGTCCAATTGATGATTGATCTTCTATTTGATTATTGTCAACATCATAAAGTGTATTAAGAAAACTATAAACAGCTCGACGATCTTAAAAATTTAACGAAAATTTATTTTTTGTCATGAAAATACAAATCAGAAAGCTAGAATTGATCTACCATCACGTGAATGTTTTTGAAACCAGGATTCAACTGTTTCTTTTGGCCAAATTTTCTGTTTTAATTCATATTTATGACGACTTCGTATGATTGGTGAAATATTTCGAGATGACTTAGGTATTGTACCAGGCTTATGTAAAGATAAATGACGACTATTATATACATCAAGATGGCTATGAGACTAAAGAACAGAGTAGAATAGAGTATCCTTTAGAAATTTGTTTTTCAGAAGAAAATCTTCTAATTTATAAATCTTTTCTTTTATCTATTATCAATAACATGTACTTACTCGATTCATATTTAAGAAGTGGCGATAATAGTGTCAGTTGACGGCAAGCAATCAAAGTAAAAACAACAACAAAATTTTTTATTCTTCGCACTTGATTAATGTAAATTTCGATTAAACTTGATCGTTTCTTTATGTCTCAAAAATACAAAAAGAAATGGGCAATAATTATATTAACGACACAGAACAAAAGCAAAATGACTGAATGCAACGGAAGTTTTCTCTCTTTCTTTTCTTCTACTTTATTTTCAGATCATGGGGCATTGATCGATGCACTCAAAACTTATATTCTTCGCCGGATGTCTATATGTTTGTGTCTGAATGCTGTCTTGGCGACTTTTTTTTTACGCATACTCTCACTTTTTCTTTTAACAATAAGTGTTTTAAGGTAAACTGTGAAACGAGAAAATTTTCAATGTCAAACAGATTCCGAGAGAAGATCGAGAAAGAAAAATGTTTAATATATTGACGATTACAACTGTTGCCGCTTTTATTGACCAACCACAACAAATACTCATAAAAAAAAAAGAAGAAATGAAAGATTGTTTTTGTCATACATTCTCTATAAAAGAAAAACGGTTTTTTTTTACTGAAGTGCCAACTTGAGTATTGAAAATAATTTAAGATTAAACACAACAGGATGTCGTTTCTATGATTGATTGATCGATCAGTAAAGCGAATAATATAGTTACTTTATTTGATAATCATTGGATTTTCAGTAAAAGAAATTTAAGCATAAAGAATGTTCAACACGGTGATCATTTAGCATGGGAACAATCAATATAATGAAAGATGAACATAAATATTTGTATATCAGCTTTAGTGAATAGGAAAACATCAGAAAATAGTGAAGCAATGCACACTAAATACATTCTAAGCAACAGAATCGATTAGATTCAATATGTTCGAATCGTTATTTTTTGATGAATATTGTTCATAGTGTCGTTTTTTCAGTTTCTTATAAAAAAGCTCTTTAATATAGAATTGTGAAGTATCAGCATGTGTGTAATTTCTTTATCGAATAATTTTTGTAAAAATAACCACAAGATTGAATGAATACTCTGAAATATCAAACGAATTCGATGATGCTAAACTTTAGCTAAATTGTTGATTTGCATTCATACTTAAATAAATTAATTGTATATATTCCAATAATCGACAGAAAACATTAGATTGAAATTTATGTGCTTTGATCGAAGATGTTCTGGAGTATATATGCAATGTAGTTTCGCATGTGATTTGTTACGGTAATTGTATACAAACTATTGGCACATCGTTTTTTACCGTAAATCAAGTCTATGTTTTAGAACTTTATTATGCTATGTTGTATATGGCATGTTTAAGTCTAAAATAAGATAATCATATGTAGTCATATGGCTTCGTTTTGTAAATACCTAGACGACTTAATTGAACTAGCCATATAAAATCGTATTTATACTGCTAAATATCGTAAACATTTCATTATTTCAACTTTAAATGAAGATCTTTACGCTATCAGTGTCTTCTTATAGATAAGAAAATTTGGATAGTCTCATCTTTTCATGGAAAATACTACAATATATTTTGCATCGGGCATGGAAAACATAAAAATACTGTAGCTGTTCTTAATTTTTGCAGCGCAGGTCAGGAAAGAGTTTAGTCACGAGTAGCCTCGTAAAACAGAGATATTAAAACTTGAAAATTACTCTTAAGAAATCGGAACTGAACTGAAGTATGCTCACTATATATCTTACTTACTTCTCACGAAGAAAGGACAAATGTGAAAATATAGAGAAAAGTGTAAATCTCTATATAGACTTAACAGTGATACCAAATTCCACTATTACAAAACGTAATTCAAAAGCATTTTTAAACATCATATCTCATTGCGCCCGATTGTCCTCGTCAAAAGCTATTAATTGATGTATCAAGTATCTCAAAAAAGTTAATATACGCTTAACAGTCATTAAAGAAAAGATTTAAGGAGCAACAAAGAGAAAGAAATACCTTTAGCACAAAACAGTCCTTAGCGACACTGCATTATGAAGAGATATATTAGTCTCAGATAGAACTTAATAAGAGCTATCGATTATATACAATATATGGTAGCACATTTTGAATGTAAAGTACTTCAATAATATGTCGACATAAAAGTGTGAATAGCAATTAGATACAGCATCGTTTTGTACCTGTAATGAATTGTAACACAGGCCACAACATATGGTGATCGTTTCAAGATAAAAACTCCCTGTGATTTTAGTCCTACACAATCGTTTACATGTCATTTTGTTTGATCTATGTCATAATACTGTATTTATCACTTTGATAATCCAGTAGTGTACGCTTTTTCACTAATAAAGACCATCAATATTCATTTCATGCACTCCAGTTATGCTCATTTTTCTTTGTGTTGATTATTTTATGGATTCAACAGTCAAATGCTGAAAATTTCGTTTTCCTTTATTTGAAAAAATAATAGAGACAACAAGAAAGTTATATGAGAAAAAAATGTTGAATTTCTAGAAAACATTTTGTAGGTTTTTGGATTTAAAATGAAGTTTTTATCATCTTTAATCGATTATATAATTATGTCTTAAACATCTTTTAATTCAGCTGGCAATTCATTTTTTGGATGTTTGCTTTCAAAATGTTGTTTATAAGTTTTTGGGTCGCCCATTTTAGTCTAAAATAAAAAAAAAAGGCATAAATTTCTAAAATATCTGTTTTTTGTCTCTTATTCGTACTTTGCAAACCGTACATTGGTACGTTAAAGCAGCATCTGAAACATTAAGTATCAACTAAATTCGAATATTATAGACAATATATTCAGTTACCAGCAGTGCCTTTTTGTGTAGTCGGCTTACTTGCACCCCCATTCTTTTCATTACGTTGTCGAGCTAATTCTTTTTGATGTCCTCGAGCCATTATCTTTCACAATTGTAAGAAATATATTTTAATCTAAAAACACAAAAAAAAACAACAACTAAATTTCTCACATATATACACTACAAAATTCTATGTCTGATGAATATGAATATTAATTGTTGGTTTTATAATTCGAATGACACCATTATTATGATATAATCGTCGACGAAAATTAGGTCGTGATGATTGACTAACACCCGAATTACGTTGTTGACGATGATCTACATTATTTCGATTTGTTGTCGAATGTGCCAAACATGTATTCACATATTCATAAAGAGTTTCATTTTCAGTAATGGATCGAACAAATGAAATTCCAACTGAAGAAATAGTTGAAAAAATAAAATTACGAAATTTATGCCATGTAGATGTTGATGACTGTTCATTAGATGAATTCTGATCACGATTTAATAATGTATTTGCCGTAGCCCAAATACCACTGATCAATACACGCAACATCGTGCGCGTGATCGAAATTACGAGCAATTCTAGAATGAAGTAATGATGGCGATGAGTGGGGAAAAAATGAAATAAAAATATCTCGGTAAACAGAACAAATAAAAAATGATTCATGAAACGATACAAACGTTAATATAATAAGCAATAGTAATTCAAGTTTGAAAGATTTACACACGTTTTTTTTTAGTTCGATTTAACAACATAAACATTTGTTTATCTTCATCGTCATGTAAATTGGTTTAGAGCGACAGATGGCATTCTTGTACAATAGTAGAAATTAGTGAATGACGTAGATAACCAAAAAAGATAGAAACTACATACTTCAAAAAGAAACACTTAATATTAATAATTATGATTTAACTAATTATCTTAAATAGATTTATTTTATTTTTGTATTTATAACTTTGTATGTTAATAATAATCAACTGAATCTAATTAGTGTATCTATATTGATAATAAAAATTGTGTTTGTACTTCATTAATAATCAAGTTTTGCAATAGAATTTAATTTTTTTTTCAGAACTTTATTTGTATTTCGTAAATTATATTCAATTGTACAAAGTCATCGGATTATACTTTGTATTACATAATAAAACTATTGAAATATGTGTGTCATATAGTCCTTACTCAAACCTTTTCTAACTTTAAAAGTGTCATAGAAACCTGAAAACCTTAACTGAAAAGGGAACCTTTCCAGGTGATAAATCGCCTTTCGACTAGACGGTATTTATCTGTTGGATACGACGCAGTAATAGAAAAGCCTAGAATGGTTTGGTTTTTCAGGCCTTTGTTCTTGAGATATCGAAATTTTACTGGATTTTTCAACAAAAACTGTACTCTCTGGTCACGTACAAAATTGCATCTTGACTTCGAACTCTGCTCGAACAATGTTCGTAATGAAATTAGTTGATCATGCAACTTTTAGCTTTTTTCTTTTTTTCTTTTTGAAGATACACATATATGATTCAAATTAGCTTTGATACATAAGAGAAAATTTCACATATACAGATAATGTGTTATGTCTATAGTACCTGTGATCATTTGCAAATATCCAAATGTATTTACTGACATTGTACAATATGCCGAAAATTATACTAGTTATTACATTGAAAAATTTTAATACAAAAGAACGAAATATTCTCTGAGCAATTGTATTTCTTATGAAAAAAAAAGATTAGATTTAACAGATAATTGTTATTTCTTGGAATAATTTTATGCATAAGAAAGTTTAAATTTATTATAAAGATTCTACTTTGATACATTCATATTCAGTTAACTGTTCGAATCTTTATTATTCAAATAGACAAAGAATACACGTAACATAAATATCTAGATTAACAAATCAGGAGTTTTTTTTTATTCATGTTAGTAAAGAAATAGGCTTCATAATAATTATTCCAAAAGTTTTTGCAACCAATTCATACGAATAACTGGCAAAGTTGTAAATATCACAGGTCCATCTCGTGAAAATGTTTTATAATTAATAATTTCATCATATAATATCTAGAACAAATGAAGTTTTCTTTTCACTCACCAACAAATCAATTTAAAGACTTACTTTATCATTTATTGATATCGCTTGTAAATTTTTCATAATTATTCGTTGTAAATTATTTTGTTCAATACGTGTTTGATCAAATAGGAATCCATTGAGATGATGTATAAAAATCATATATAATAATGGTTGAATCATTTTCTTGATCGTTCCATTTAATAATATGTGAGCATAGTAACGAATTAAGTCAAGATCATTTTCATATGGTAGAAAGAATGTTTCAAGTGAGAATAAAACCTACAAAAAAAGAAAAACAGATAACTATCAATGAAAATAGAAAACAAAAGTAATACTTGATCAGGTTTTAATCGAAGATATTTCAATATGGTTGAATGTTCAATCCAAACATGTTTTCGTAATTGAACATCATATATTTGTTGTAATGGAATAAGAAGATAATTTGAATAAAGTACATCACCAAAAGAGCAAGCTTCATATTGATCAACAAGTGAACGATAACTATAATTAGTAAATAGATTTAAATAGCATGAAAAAAATTTTCTGGAGTTTTACACTAAATTTTTTTCCCGATGTTCGCAAATATCAATTGTCTTTTTTGTTCGACTCGAAATCATGTATATGAATGTTTTAGAACCAGTTGCAATGGGTACCGATGTATTCTCTCGCCAAAAAAAAAAATCAAGAGGGGGTATGAATAAAAATTCTTTTTCGGAAATAATAACTTATTTTTCAGCAAGTGTGCATCCCCATAGCAAGTTGGTCGTCTCCTTTAGAAAATCTGTGTCTATGCCCATGGTCTAGATCGATATTAAGGACATAACAGAAATTGCCGTCGAAATTTTCATCAATAGAAATTTAAGTAAATGTTGTCCGTTCTAAAATAAATAAAGTGAAATAAAAGGCTTTTTGAAAACATGTTTTTCTAAAATGCACTCAAAATTATCGACTTATTAGTTTCATGCTTCTTTTTTCTCGTAGATCCAAGTCCCCCAAACCGTGTTAGAATCGTGAGAGCATAGAGTATAAAGATGACTGAGTACACGTGAATCTTTTAAATTTGGCGCAAACAACGTTATATTTGTTTGAAAACCAAAGTCAACAGTTTTGTATAGCTTGAAATTCTGTATCTTTTGACGTATGAAGAGAACGTTTTATAATTACGAAGTAAGAGAAAAAAACATTAAAACTTAGTGAACTATATTCTGGGGCAGCTGTTAATTTCCCTAAAGTTTCTGTTTACTATTGTCGGTGTCAAAATACTAAGAATCTCAATATTTTTTTTAGTATGTTAAGAACTTAAATAGTTAGAAATCTGTGGTTTTGACCATTCGAAAGAGAAACGCGAGGTAAGCTAAAGGTATGTGTTTGTCAAGCTAATTATTTTTAGTTGTAGAATTTGACCAAAGGTTTTCGAAAAAGACTTTTAAAATGACGATTAATTCACATTAAAAGAATCGATAACGAAGATATTTATCTACCAATCTACCCAAAGTCAACCCTTCTACCCTGTTCCATTTAGAATTTTTAGCTGTTTTACTGGAAACCTTGAAACCGGCCAACAGATTAATGGTCATTCTAAACTAAGTGATCAGTTCGTCGATTTCAAGGCTCTCAGTAAAACGTTTGAATAGAATAAGCTAAAAGGATTAGTCTTACATAGATCGGCAAAGAAATATCTTCACTATCAATTATTAGGATTGGAATTTATTGTTAGTGAAGAAAGTTTTTCCGAAAACTTCTTATAAAAATCTGTAGCAAAAACTCATCAGTTTTGCCTATAAATAATCTAGTTAATTGAGTAAAGTTTTACTTCCTCTACATCTCTCTTTCGAATGATGAAAATCGCAGGTTTCTATCTACTTTCGTTTTCAAGATATGAAGAAAATATATAGATGCATTTTATTTTGGCGTCAACAATATAATATATTCTACAAATCTAAAGACTTATTGTATGTATTTAACTTACAAGTCGAAAAAAGTCATTAATGATTGAATATTAGTTCTTGTTTCAATTTTTTGTAATAAATGTTGTTCATTAAAACAATTTAAAAAAGCCACAAGATAATCAGCTATATTTTTCTCAAGAAATATATCCGAACCAAGTAAATAAATTCCTGCAATCATTGAAAAACGTGTAGTTTTTGTTAACATTTTATATAAAACTAAATTATGTTTCATTTCTAATATATAAACAAAACGTAGTGTATTTAAAATAATATCTAATCGTTTGTCATTTTCAACAATAGATAAAACATTTGTATAAAGTGATGAAAGTAAACCATATGGCCATGTTGGATCAATAAATGTATCTGCATAATGAATATTTATTTTAAATGAATCATCTATTTGAAATAAATTTCCAAAATGAATATCACAAATATTTAAATTAATTGATGAACGATTTAATTGAAGAATATTTTTATAATAAGTATATAATGATGGTAAATGTTCAATAGCACGTTCATAAAGTATTGTACGATGAGATGAAGAAATTTTTATAGATTCATTTGATGCTAAACAAAGAGATTCATTTGTAATCAATGATAAATCAGCTAATTCAGTTTCATTTGATCTATTTAAGAAAAAGAAATTTCTTTAGTTTTTTTTTTATTAAATAAGAAATTCAAATAACCTTTTCCAAAAAGATATATCAAATAAAACAAATTTAAGAATTTCTTGTGCAAGATAATGATAACCTTTTAAAAGTGATGATAATAATGAAAGTAATATTTCATAATAAATCGATGGTAAATCATCAGAAGATTTCTAAAAGAATAAAAAATTTGTTTTTTGTTTTAAATAAATTAATATTTGATTTACTTCTTGATTAATGACTTGAATAAATTGAAATAGAAAAATATGTTCAAATTGTTCAAACCATGATATTTTACGTACTCCTGATGATGTTAATTTATTCAACATTTTTTTAATATAAACTACTATTTCACTATCTTTTGTTAACATTAATTGACTAATAAATTTATTCTAAAAAAAAAAACAAAAGATTTCAAGAAAAAGAATTGCTTATTTTTTTTTTATCTTGTTATTACTGAAGTCGATAATGATTTATCTATTTGATAAATAATATTGGTTAAACGAAGTAAAGAAATTAGAAAACCAAATGGTGATATATTTGTTTGTGTTAATGTTGGAAGATTTACACTTGCATTTATGGGAATTATTGCTGTTCTAAATATTTGTATTATTTTATAGTAATTTGTTACAGAAAAAAAAAACATTCTTACTCAAATTTAACATTTTCAATAAGTTGTTTAGTTGATTTAAGATGTAGAATTGGTTCAAAGAATTGACTGCGGATGAGTTTTACTTTTGATGGTAAATCTAACAAATTGATTGTCTAATAAAAGAAAAATTGTTAAATTTTTTTTTTATTTTTTTATTGTTTTATATGATTAATACAAACCAATAGTTGTTGACCAATTAAAAATGATGCTAAACATGATAGACATGCTGTACGAAGAGCAATAAGTTCAATCTAAATAAAATAAAGTTTATTGATAATAAATATCACGCTCTTACATACTGTAGGTATCAATAGTATAAACTTACTTTTTCATCAGTTTCTATCATGGTTTGTTTTGCAATTGTTAAAATAAGATCAAAAAGTCCATCGATATGTGACCAATTAATAACATTTGTTGAATTTTCAGATGAGTTTCTATTAAAAAAAAAATGTAATAAAACAAGAATTCCTAATCTTATTTTTAGTAATTTACTGATGTTTAAAAATAAATTTTGTAACATAAATTATCAATGCATCAAATAATGTAATAAGTTGAATTAAAATTTGACTAATAACCATATTTGGCATTTGTTGAATACACATTCGACACAATGGAATTATAATCGTTGGTATTAAAGAACTATTATACACAATCAAAATATCGATTATTCTTTCAAAATAAATTTTTCTTACCCAAATTCATTTGCCATATGTCCTTGTAAAATAAATACACGCCAAAGAGATAATAATTCACCAAGAGTTTTATTATCTTGTAACGATGAAGACAGACTAAAATAATATTGATTAATAAAAAATTTCGATTCAAATGAATTAACTTTTCTAATGTAAATTCAATCAAACTCACAAATTATTTTCTTACTTACTTGACTGCAGCTACTAAATGATTTCTTAAACGTTCATTAAGTCCATATCGATTGATAAGATTAAATGCTAAAGTACTACCATGATTTGCTAAAACTCGACAAAATTTTAAAGCTTCCGGTAGTAAATGTTCATACACATGTCCTTCTTCTACAAGCAAAACATAATAGAAAATAATAATTATCTCTTTACATTTACCATTAGGTACAATTATTTCCGGAATAAATTCTCGTATAATAAAGTCCATTAATTGTCTTTCTTCAAAAATCTATCAGAAGAAAAAAAAAGTAGATTTTAGAATTAGTTAAAATATAAAATAGATATGTTCATGGCGTCTGCTATGCGAGAGATCTTTCAAAAATACTATTGCAATAACTTCTCGTTTAGAGAAATTGTTCAATTTCATAAATTTACACCTAACTTGAGTGTCGACAAGTTCAAAAGTCAAAGTTGTGGTGAATTGGATAGATTCACTCAAACTGTACTAAGGAATATCTATGATAGAAAATAATAATTTACTTGATTTGCACATGTCATTGAATGTCTTGTCATACGAATAAGAATATGAAATGAATGTTTAACTGGAAGAATAATTGTTAATGATGGTAGTAATTTCATTCGATCAAGTAAATAAACAAGTCTTTTTAATACATTCATACGAAATAAACATTTAATTAAATCTTGTTCTAGTATTTCAATATCTGTTAAATCTGATTCACTTTTCTTATCACCTAATTGTATATCTGCTGGTGTTAATATTGGTTCATAATATCCACATGGCCAATGCATTGTCTGAGAAAGAATTTCCTAGAAAATAAATTTCAAAAAGATAAAATTGACTAATTTCTTTATTTTTTATATTTACTTCATCTTTTTTTGGTGCAATCAAATTTGCTAAACATTCAATAGCTATCATATATATTGATTCGATTTGTTCATCCATAGCCCAACGTATCAAAAACAGAATACCAGCTTCAATTAATTTAGGTATTAATGATAATTGAAGATCACGATCATAGATACCAGTATGAGCCTATTTTAGAATTCAGAGATTTTTTTGATTCATTGAATAAGAGAAAAAGAAAAAACAAACTTGACGAATTATATTTGATAATGTTTGTAGAGCAATAACACGTTGTTGAAGAACAGTTGAACGAGAAAGATGAAATAATTCTTCTAATGTATAACCAGCTGCTTCTGGTTCTTCACCATGATGATGAAGAGCAGCTGTGACAGGAATATCAACCGTACGTGATATTAAATTACCTTTAAAATCAAAACGAGCTGAAACACCTTCAGGATTCTAAAATAAACATTAGAAAAAAATATGATCGTTTTATCATGTCAACATATCGTGAAGTTCTTCAGTGATTATTAAAGATTTTATTGCGAAATATTACTCGACAACGAGCAAAATAAATAGAGAATCGTTCGATTGATTTCATTGGTATGAGATCGAGTTTTATTTGTGTACAAACGAACTAATATAATATATGGTTATGCATGAAAGAGCTTTAGTGTAATATTTGAGCCAAAAATGTATAGCAACATAAATGTTATTAGGCTGATCAAGAACTAGGTAGCAATCGTAAAGGTGAATTGAAAAAAAAAAGATTTCTCCACGTTCGAATAATCTCGTAGAGAGGCTGGTGACTCATAAAAATACATGAAATGTTAAATAACCATAATATTCTAATGTCAAATAAAGTTTAAAAAACAACATAGTCTTAGTTTTTCTTCATTTGATAACTTAATCGCTTCTCGCAAAAGATAACCCCATTGAAGGCATAATGCAACGGACATGATAAAAGACTCTGCGTTCTTATTTAAATAATCTCTTAAAAAATTCGAATTTTCATTCGGTTACTTGCATCGACTCTTTTAATCGAAAATTATGAAAATCTATGACATACAATAGAAGATCTGAGGTCTTCGATTGCGACTAGAGAGATTACAGAAATGAATTTTTCTTACAGAATCGTCAAGTGTTCGTTGAGCTGATGGCTTTGGTAAATCTTTGATCCATTCTAATTTCTCATATTCAATATTATCCATATGAATCCATCGAGAATCAACTTCAATTGGAAGATTTGTTGATGTTGTTTGATTATCTACATCCATTTTTTGTACAGTTGATTTTTCATTCATTCGAATAATATTTTCTCCTTCTTTTTTATTTCGTTTTCGAATAAATGCAACTAATTTTGGGTCTATATATAAGATAAGAATTTCGAAAATTCTTTTTATTTTCATAGAAAAAAATCTCCTTTTTTTTACCAAGTGAATTTAATAATTTTTCTTTTTCAGCTAAAATTTCTTTTTCATCCATTGATTTTAATCGATCAATATTTTCTTCATGAATACGTTGAATTTCTCGTTCACCAGTTACTTCACCAAGACCACTACCAGTTAATAAACTCGAACGTGATATTTGTTGATCAATTGATGATCTCTTTGTTTCTTCTAATTCTTTACATGTTTTCAATTTTCCATCACGATACATTTGTTTAGCAAATAAGGAAGCTTTTTTAACATTTGGTAAAACAATTTTCTAATGAAAATTAAAAAATTTCAATGAATAAAAATTAATAATGAGAAAAAATTTCTTTTTTTTTTTACATCAAGATCATCTTCACTACCACGATGTTTTGCTTGTGGAAATGGATCATTATTAGGTTTTGGTATTTGAATAGGAGTTGTACTAACATCTCGTTCCTAAAAACTTCATTGATATAATAAATTTTTATATTTACATAATTTTTCCAAAGGAATTCTTTTCTTACAATAATAATATTTCGCATAACATTTGTTTGAGTAAGATCAATATTTGAAAATTTCTTTTTTTTATCTTCATTTTCATTTGATTGTTGACGTTTTATATTTGGTTCTCGTATGACTTGTGCTGCAGGTTGAATATTTGAGCGTTGAAATAATTCCTGATAATTTAACATCTCATCGTCGGCATCATCACTAATGCCAAATTTAGGTTTTGGACGAGCTTGTAGATCGTTATTCATCTTTTTAAAATGATAGAACACGAAATGAATATGAAAGTCGTCGTATTGCACATAAGAAATGACATTCTGAATTGGCAAAAATGAACCAATCAAAAATTAGATATGACTCATGGATATTCTTCTGTAGTTGGTTGTTCCATTGTATCTATGAATTACAAGAGATCCAGCGAAATCAGAAAATTTCAGTCTATTAGCTTTTTGAATGATCTGACAACAAAAATTTTGATGCTTTTATATGCCATTTAAAAAGTAATCGTCATAAAATATGATGATCTGATTCGAGGCACAATTTAGTCGTTGTTCGGTGTAATCGTTTTACATATTGCCATGAAAAAGTCCGATTTTCAAATTATATGTCACAAATTGTATGAAAGAAAATTTTCTTATGGCTTTGTACACGGAATTTTTCATACAAGAAGCAGAATTAAGGACCCAATGAACAACTTCTAGCTTAAGATCACGCTTTTCCGATGTGATAATAAAATTTTTTTTATTGTTTAGTTTTTCATCGCTAAAAATGCTTCAAAGACTCTTCTGCCAACTGCCGTATAAATGAGAGCTTGCCGTTGCTAGTTGACACTTTTACTGAACTCAAATCTCGAAGTTCATAGCACAAAAATTCACGCTGCAATTATTCTTTACTTGTAAAATTGTCCTAATCATAATAATTATTTCTTATTTCAAACGAATTGAACTGAACCTGTTTTTTTTACAGACACTGTTTAGGGTGTCTAGTTTTGTTTTGCTTTCAAAAAATATTGCATCGTTGATTTTTGACAGACTTTACAAAAACAAAAGTTCTAATAAAAACAGCATGTTTTGCTGGAAGTATGTTCAACATCTTGATCTATTTATTTGAATGAAAGGATATAAAAGGAAACTAAAAAGAAAATATGCACTCCAAACAGTGTCTAGTACCTGTGAAAAGTATTCCTACTCTATCGAACCTATTGTGACTGAGAAAACGGAGAGATTTTACGCCTTTGTGACTCAGTTATTTTCTAGAGGAAAATATTTCAGAGTTTGAAGTATATGATGACTTTTCCTTTACTCATCGAGATCTGTCTATTTTGCAAGTTTCAAATACTTCTCAAGAACGGTTCTTCAGACACGTCAGAAAGAATAAGGATTCTTTTAAATGACTCACTGCTGACAGAAACCTTGACAAGATAAATGACACTTTGTAAAATAAGTCGAGTAATGCTGAAAATAAGAATTAAATACTAATGAAAGAAAAAATCTAGTAACAATTACTAATTATAGGAATTCGAAAAAATGTCGCAGATCTTGACATTAAATGAATTGAAGGCAATCCTATTTTATAATGAGCTCTTTGCATCGTAGAACAAAAATATGTTTTTCGTTTTCTACAAAAAGTCATCTGAGTATATGTAGATTTCTACATTTTATCACAGAAAATTTTCATCTATTATTAGAAATCTGTGTGTCGATTTTTTCAAGGCAGTTTTTTTTCAGTCACTTTCTTCCAGATGATCTACCCTTAACTGTATGTCAAATTTTCGACTCTTTCAACTTTAAAAATTATCTCGAGCCTTGTTTAGATCTTTCTTTGCTGTTGTATAATTGGTTAATACAAATAATTTATCTAGTCTATCAATAAAAATGTTTCATTTAAATAGGAATTACATCTTATAAAATGAATGAAATAGCATGAGTCTATCTGCAACCGTAAGTTTAAACAATAAATGATAATTCTATTCAGAAAACAAGATATGCTGGAATATTTTCTCCTTATGTGTTGATAAACGACAGAAGAAGGAAAAACTAACTCGTCGAATTTATCAGATGAAACTCATAAAAATATCCTTAGAATGTCGAATCTTTTTTTTCAAGGAAAAAGTCTTCAATATGACATTAGGAGTAGTGTCACATATCCAAGATTTTGGAGATGCCACCACATCTCCCGTGGGAGATGCCGCGTCTCCAGCGGGAGACGCGACACCCACACTCGAGAGATATGGTCATTCACCACTGGAGATGTAAGATCTCCTTTAGAGATGCGCATCCCCCACACCCACACCCGCATCTCTCGCGCGACATGCGGCATCTTCCGCGGAAGACGTGGTGGCATCTCCAAAATCTTGGATATGTGACACTGCTGTAGTAGAATCATTAATGATAACAAAAACCTATTCAAAATATTTTATATCATTTGAAATTAATCAACACTATTGTTGAACAGATTTCAAAAATAAATCGAACAAGTCAATATCAACATTGTTGTTTTTTGAATATACAAATGATAAACATCTCATTATTAAATTAATGATCAAGTTTATTAAAATATTTTAACGGAAATAAGACGAAAACATGCTTAAATTATTTTAATTGTACATCTTCTTGATATAAACAATTCTATTAGTCACAATTATAACTATATCGTATTGATCAAAACAACAGATAACGATAATAGTTAATCTTATTTTATATTTGTTCTTGTTTATTCTAGACATGGTGAATCTAATTTGTCCCATGTTCGAAAATGTCTCTAAAATAAATGTTCAAAACGTGATTTACGGAAACAGATAGGTAAATATTCTGTTTTAATCAATACTCGAATTGACCATGAACTTGAAGAATTTATTTGCAAAATATTTGTTTATTGATCAAAACACGATTTATGTTGTCTTTATCTTTGTCATTTTATATGCATGTGGTTGTTTGGAATGATATTTATCGTTCCACTTATATGTATGTTGTGGACAATAGTAAAATTCATTTATTTTCACCGGATAGAATTAAAAAAACTCTACTAGAGACAAAATTCAAACCCGATCATAATAACCGTTTTTTTTTATTCTGTAATATCTTCTTTTCCTACACAGTATAAAACTAAATGAACTTTAAGCTATTTACCAATATTGGTACGATCTATCGAACGAAAAATTCGTAATTGCTTGAATGGTGGAGATGAAGAGACGATTTTTGTCTCTCACACCCTCAATATATTATTATCAACACTGTTTTGTGAGACTTTTTTTTTCGAAATTTTTCAACTGAGGAATGAGTTATATATATTACTATGACTCTTGATAATACAACAATTCGTCGTTGTCTTATTTGATGGTTATTGAATCAGATTCAGACTATTTTTATTAGATTGTAATGCACATATCCATATTTCTATTGCATTTCGTCACAACTATTATAATTACAATTTTTCTCTCATTTTTTTTCACTCCACTCTGCTGTTAGTGAAGCACGTGATGATGTGAATTTATCTCTTATTCAATTCTAATTTTGTAAAGTCAATTAAAACGATCGATGGCAAGTTATGTATTCTACAAGTTACAACCGTTCATTTGTTTTCTTTAACTTTATTTTCTGCAAGATATAATCATGAACAATAGTCTAATGAATCATATAACAGATTCGATTATAAATATGTATCATTAAAGAATTTATTTACATTATTACCAAGTAACACGAGTCATGCACTGTATAATACTGAAAATAACCAATCTAAAAATCTTGATTGAATACTAGACGCAAGTTGAATTTTTCAAAACATTATAAATTTAACAGTAAATACGAAGATCTGCAAGCGAACTATGCTTCTTATTGCTCATGGATACATTCAGTGAATATCAACAGATAGATGCATGTGTATAGCTCAATCAATTTTATGTTTATATATAATAATAATCAATTTCTCTTTAATCAAAATATTTTTCAAAATATGATAGGTTTTTCTTTGTGCTTTTAGATGGCAGTAGCTGATAACAAATTGTATGTAAATGGTTATGATGAATTGAAAAATACATTGAAGAAATTAGGAAAAGATAAACGTATTTTTGTATTCTTTTATGGTTCAAAAGATAATCAAGGACACAGTTGGTATATGAAGCAATATAATATTTGTTCAATATGATTTCAGTTTGTTTCATATAGGTGTCCGTATTGTGTTGAAGTAGAAAAACCAGTAGAAAAAACTGTTGAATATTTGTTACCATCGAATGGAATTTTTATTGGGTGTTCAGTAGGCGATCGATCGAGGTAAAAAAAAGTGGAATAAAAAAATAAAATGATTCTTAAAGTCTCTTTTTCTTTAGTTGGAAAGATTCAAATTGTTCTTTCCGAAAAGATCCACAACTTCGATTGACAAATATTCCGACGTTAGTTGAATGGGGAACGGTAGAACATAAATAATTATGAGAATAAATCTTTACTCTTTTTGTTTAGAGTAAACGTTTGACCGAGAATCAATTGCTCGATTCTGACATGATTAAAATTCTCTTTGAAGAAGATTAATGCAAATATTTTTCTAAGACTATGATGATTTGTAGCAAAAGACAGTTTAATTTTTCTAAATGATTGTGATTAGCGTTGTTATTCTTTAGAAAAAAAAAACATGTTGCTGTAAGACAAAATAAACTTAAATACTAGGTAGATTAATTGACTATTGTTGTCAGTGTAATAGGTGAATTCCGATAGGATTGCTATGGTGAAAGATGAAAGAATAAATTTCTATTCAAATAAAACAGTGAAAAATGCAAGACTATGCACTCATCAAGTGTCTTGCTTGACCGAGAGAAAACATGTTTTAGTGATTAAATGATATAATTAGATACATAGCGTAGAAAGCATTTGACTCTATCTTGACAAACAACCATTCATGATAGAACAAATGTTTACTAGGACTAACAATTATAATAGATGAGACTGTATCATTTGTTTATCGAACGAAAATCGACGACAACAGAAAAAACAAATTCCAGCTACATATACATGATGTTTTCCAAGTCAATTATCTCATAATATTGATAAAGAAAAGATAGATTGTAGCCTTATCTCTTAGATTACTCAAACAGTCATATAAGCTAGAACTCCCATCGAATCTTGTCAGGTTCCATCAGAATTTTATGCAATCTGGTTGAATCCTATAGTAATGTTGTGGAGAGCCAATTGATGGAATAATACCCGAATTCGTAGCATTCGAAGCCTCATTGGATCTTGCTGCCAAAAATTGCTCGAATCCTTTGATCCGAATACGATCGAATTCTACCTCCAGAATCCCATGAGAGCCCACCAAGGGGAAACAAACTGAACACTGGAATCCTGAATTCCAGGATTCACTTGAATTTCTCAAAGTTACTCAACTCATTCAGTAAACCTTCATGGGTCTATAAAAAAGATGTCATTGTGTTACAAAAGCGTTTCATACTGATATATGTTCTTCCTTTTTTCCATTCGTTTATGGTTATTTACAACCATACATATATACAGTCAGCGACAAAAACTTAAGCGTATTTGTATTTTCAATTTTTTTCATGCGTTTATTTTTTCAAATTTTCTTTCACATTATTATAGTTTAACGATCTGATTAAAATGGCTTGTTATCAAACGAGAATCTATTTTTGTATAGAGAAAATCGATAAAGAGAGCGAACAGATACCTTTAACAGCGCATTGTATCGATAAAGTTTATTATAATACATTTTGAATTATTCTTTATATTCTTGATTGTGTAGCGATTTAATTTCAAACGCCACTTAAAAATTTCTAGCACTATCTAATACGTATTCATAACTGATTATTTTTCATCAATACCTATTTATTTTTGTTTGATATTTTTAACGCTAGAGCTATTCAATCTTAAGCACTACTTAATAGATACTCATAGCCATTAAGTAATCATTTAACTTTAAGAAATCTCGGATGAAATGAGATCATCGCAAGATTGAATATAACCTGCTGAACTATATCCGACGTTGATTAAAAAAAGGGCAAGTCAATATTGTTGATGCACTAAAGTACAACCACATGAGATAGACTGTAAATACTTTAAAATTCAATTATCTTAGTTTATGTATGCTATTGACAGCGGATATTTTGAAGTTTGTGGCTTTACTTTAAGAGTATACATTTTATTGGAATATGATTAATCTATTTAACATACAGTATGCATCTTTCGACTGTAAGTGATCTTTAAGAAAATATACAGTTATTACTAAAAGATGGCAAGAAATTATGCAATTGTTCATTTAGCATTTTTTTTGCGCTTGCTCGTAACAAATCAGTAAGAATAAGTGAATAGCTTAGTGTTTATTAAAGAGCTCGGAATTATTTATAAATAGTGATGGGGAGGTCTAAATACTTGATGAAACTAATTGATAGTAACATGGAATATTTTGCAAATATCTTTGTTATTACAAGTCACAAAATGAAAGATGCATAAGTTGCTCTTATAATTACCTTCAATAATAATGTTGAAGTTCCAAAAAATATCAATTTACAGTCTAAATCAAATCCATTATTCAAAAATTCATTGCTGAATATCGGAATGCGAACAATATGACACTCTTTAGTTTCGAAAATCATCAGGAAGAATTAAAACTATATCTAATTTCAATTATTGTTCTGATACAATATACATCTTTCATTTTCTGACTTGTGATGACGAAAGTTTTTGTAAAATATCCCATATTACTGTCAAATAGCCTCACCAAGTACTTATAGATATCCATCACTTTTTAATCATGATTATGAATTCTTTAATAAACACTTAGCTGCTCACTTATTCTCACTGATGTGCTTGGAGCAAGGGCAAACGAAAAAGAAAATTGTTGAATAGGTAACTATTTACACAAAGAAGTACTATACGTAGTTTTGTTAAAAATAACTCAACCACTTTAGTCATTAAGTAACTGTAAAATTTTTTTCAATAGTTATTAAAGTTTTTAAACACATATGATAATATTTGAATAGCGCTAGATTTTAGGTAACTATAGTTACATGAAGTATCAGGTATTTAATCATTAGGTAGCTGTATTTTATTCAAAAAAGTATTTGTTTTAAGAAGCTACGATTCTGCATATGTGCCAAAATGTACTTCATCGAAGAATAAATTTATTGAGACATATTTGAAACACAAAAACTAGGGAGATGGTAGATATATATTCAAATGATAAACGAGCAAAGCGAACGACATTTAACTGCGACAGATGTTACTGTTTGACAAATATCATCAAACAATATGTTTTTCATAGTTCTTTATCTAATTTGAAAAACTAGACGAACCCTTCAATAATGAAAAATTTTGAATCAACACTTTGGTCAAACGATGTCTCATTTGTCTATATTTATTTTGGAAATATTTAAAATATTATGTGGATACTATTATATTTGTGTTGTTTGGTTTTAATCTGATTGATAAAACTTCTGTGACTAGATGCACTCATGATTGAACGCAACAATGTGAAATATAAAAATTAACATTTCTCTCTTTGTTGTTATTCAATGTATATAATAATCATTCTGATTTAACTTTCATGTAATGTGACTATTATTTGTGTTGTCACAACGATATTAATGTTTTTAATAATAACATAAATAATATGCCTATCTATGTCGTGATTTATAATTTGAACGACATATTTACGCAATACTTTCGATTATGCTTTTAAAAATGTTCAATAGTGTATGTCTTCATTTTTATAACAATCATTTTATGTCAGTATACGTCGACTTAAATATATCATTTACATTCTTCTTCTGTTTTTCATATAGAACACATATGGGATGTTGAAAAGTTATCTGAGTCAAACTCAGTTCAATTTAGAAACATGTATCAATGTTAAGGTACAGGTACCATTTACTACAAGATTAGAGCAGAGCGTAGATCCAGAATTATTTCTAAATAGATATAGCAAGAGACCTACAAGAAATTAAGTTTATCCTATTTACTGTTATGCTTTTCAAGTTTATATTATTTTCATATTTTTAACTTCTTAGATCTTTTAGTTCATTGAGTTCTATTGGATATAGATTGAGTGTCGTGTACATGCACGTGAATGGACATGTTTCTCTCACTTACATCCCTAGCACCATATCTTCTAACCAAGTTGATATCGATCATTCAGCTCCTTCTATATGAGCTAGGTTGATGAACATCTCATTTTATTCTACCAGTTCATTTATGCAGTTATCATTCAGGTCGAGTGTACAGTTCAGTTTATCTGACATGAAATGGAACGTTCACGTGTCAAACTGCTATAATGACAAAACCAATAGCGGCATAGGAAGTATGATCATCTAACAAATTTTCACTTTTTGTTATCATAGTCAACTACAAGTGATATTAAAAACCATTAGCAGTCTATCATTTTAATAAAACTGAAACAATTTTTTCTCAGTTCACCCTAAAATCATGAATCACCGAAAATATTTTGAATAAAATTTGTGCATTTCTATCTGATCTAGTCTTCACTATATCTTATTGTATATTTTTTTGTTTTGTTTCGTTTGAAATTTATTACAACAAGCAACCTTTAATGCGACTTTATTGACTGTAAATAATGTTTCTCTTTCTAAAGCGCCATAAAGCCTTTTAATCCAACATAAAACAAAGAGAAGGAAAGATATTGCAAGATAACGAATCAAACAACTATTCAACTATTGTGATACATAGGGATATTTTTTATTTTTTTCGAAATCGTTAATCTTGTTATCGAATTAGCCTGTTCTAATATGTTTCTTCAAGGCCATCGTGCATTACTATTTTTTTAAAATATATTCTTTTGATAAATAATTTTAAAGAATATGTTCTGTACTACGTAATGGATGTCCTATGACGCAGATATATTTTTAAACTATGATATGATCGTTCATTCACGATAAATAACAAGAAAGAAGTAACATGTTTTCAAAAATATTTGCTTTCGTTTTCTTTCAGTTTCCTATAAATACAGAATACGTTATTTATTCATTGATACGCATTTACAAATTTATATATCGAAAAAGAAAACATGTTCTACTACGCAGCTTTTGTTGCCATTGTTCTTCTTATAGTTCGCTCCAATGGTAATCCAACGAGATTAAAGAGAAATGAACCGACTCGTTGTTGTATACCAGACAAATTTAGTGCCCAAATTAGTACATCAAGTGGTATGCAATTACCAGATGATAAAACATTCGGGACTTATGTAAGTTATTTTTACAATATATAGTTTGGTACAACGTTTTTTACAATCTTAATAGGGATACTATAATTTTTCATATGATGTGGATCGTGGTATGGTTGGAATGAAGGGAGTATCATTTTCGGTACCAGAGCAAAAGAAATCAAATATTTGGATTATTGAAAATATAAATGATGGACAAATTTATACAATAGATCTAGATTCAAAACAATGTTACAAATCAACAATGCCAATAAAACTATTGCGTTGTATACCAGGTATATAAACATTTTCTTTGCTGATTGATGATTTTCTCTTAATTTAATATCTATCAGATTATTCACTGTTGGCTTTGTTCTATAGATTCAGCAACTTACTTACATTCAGTTTCATATGGATATGGTAATAAACAAATCCCTGCTGATACATGGCTTGTAATAATGGATGATTTCATTACTTATACAACTGTGAGTAGTGATGGTCTTTGTGTTCCATTATCTGGACATAGTTTCCTTGCACAACCTCGTAAGCAACTATTTCATGTAAGCATCATAAAATTTCATATTTACTTATTTTAGCTTTGGTCACTGCTGTGACAACAACAGATTTTGAACCAAATGTTGATGATCCAAGTATATTTGATATACCAGCAGAGTGTAAAAATGCTGTCTAGCTTCAACTCTTCATCAAAACAGACTCATATTAGAATTATGTACCACACATCTTTAATATTTTTTTTCTGGCAATAAAGAAAAGATCACTGAAATAAACTTGAGCATTTATGTCAGTATACAGGACAAAATAATCAAAAGAAATGCAAAATAATGCACCTGAAGCTTAAGTATCTAAGGCAAGTAAATGCTACATAACTGAGCATGAAAAATGCACTTAATATTGAAAGGATACTATATATAAATAGAATTTTGCTATTAGTTAGGATGTGAATCTAGATAGAGGGAAGAGTCAGACCCACACCTACGCCTTTATAATTTTTGTCACTGCCTAGAAAACGCAAATTTACTCCAAAGTATTGCCTTACACTAAACTTCATATACATTAGAGTAGCTATACATGTCACATCTATCTTTACACAATTATTCATCCGTCTGAGCTTACAATTTCATTTTATTTCTAATTCATAAGTATGTATCTACTGTAAAAATATCATCGAAATCGGTGATATTGATTAATCAACGTGCTATTGGAACTAGTCATGACTTACATGCAGTGCCTCACAGAGAATAACTATATTCCATAAAATTAAGTTGTTTGAACAATAACTTGTATGAATTCTTTGTTATTACATTTTTGTTATTTCCTTGTTAAAACGACTTGCGGATGTAGGTATGTGTGTGTGTGTGTGTGCGTGTATGTGTCTCCTGTGCCTCATTCACACCCTAACTGGTGATGAAACATGAATTTATCATTGACAAATTCGTCGGGCGTCAAGCACTGTTACTTAGATTATTGGAAATGAACAGCCAAAGATCATTATTCGTCAAAATAGCCGTGAACCAAAGCTTTGTTTTGTTTAGTCTTTAAATCCAATGGTCTTGTTCTTATACATAGTGTAGATAAATACAAGACTATCGATCACAACTATTATATTGTTAAAGTGTCTCAAGCTTGATATTAATAAAATATGAACACAAGGAAAATCATTATACATAAGATGTATCAGATTGTATCATAATACTTCCTGTCTTCATAGTCATATGGATGTTATTAAATTAATTAATAGAAGGTATTGAAATAATACCGCATCCACCATATTCACCGGATATTGCGCCATGCGAATTTAAGATAAAAAAGAATCGCTAGTTTAGAAGTTTTTCAAGATAATGAAGAATATTTCAGAAAAGTAATTTTAAAGAACTTTTGACAAACTGTTAGAAAGAATGAAACTTCGTATAAATAATCATGATGTTTATTCGGAACATGTAATAAAATAAATCTAAAAATATTTCTTTCTTTTTATATTTTTTTGTTTCATGTTATCATAACTTTAGTCAAGCCTAAGCAGAAGTAATTCTCTCTTTATTAATACCATCTATTTTTAATTTGGAACATAGCTTGATGGTTTACAAGCTTACAAAAATAGGTTGATGGTCACCGAAAATATAACAGATTTTAGTAGAGCTCTTGGATACTTATTATACTCTTAAATTTTCTGTCAATAGAAGAAACTCATCTGAAAAACAAAATGAAAAGATGTGAAGAGTGAAGAATACTTTGTCAATACGGTCAAAAAAAAATGATACTTTTGAATTGTGCTTTTAATATTCGAGAAATAAATAAATAAAAGTAAAACATTTTTTAAGTAGCAACTGCTACATATAAAAATCATGTATGTTTCTCTCGAGTATAATTTAGCATTTTGATATCTCGGTATATCATTGCAAAATGATGCATTATCATATGTGGCCTATCGGTAAATGTTTTTTTTTGCCGTTAGAATTTCAATATACAATGGAATTAGAGGTGAGAGTTAGATCGATAAAATGGTAAAGCACCCCTATCGTCTTCTTACTTTTTACAATCAAACTCATCCCAAATGCAAATTCACTACTTTTAGTCTTTGTACTTTGCCACTATCATATGTATTTGATATACATAAATCGTAAATATATATTCATGTGTATTTCTATTTCACATGTATGAATCCAATAACGATAATTTTAACATAAACATCAAGAACAACAGTAACAATTCATCCGTGTTATCTATGCATCATTGAAATATCTGTATTGTCATAGCTTCACTCACTCTCATCTTGACCATATATATGAGATAAATCTATAACAGCTTACTCTTGAAAGATCATGAGGCAACACTATCGCTTGGAAACTGTTCTTGACGAGTATTTTTCTCGAACACCTTCATCGAAGTTACTTGGTATTTACGAAGATTTCATGCAGGTTAAAAAGACTCATTTATCAATGTTTCAAATGAGCATAGATTTCTCGGTGTATGCCTGTGTCGAAATGAAAAATAAAAGTAAGTGTCCAGAATACACATATTTGGGATATGAAAAAACGATCAAGAAACTGTCTTAACGTTATAAGTGAAACGATGAAAGTTTCAACCGACACAAAATACTCTCTTCACTAAGAACATCTTTTTTTCGTCAAAAATTTGCATTTTTCAAACAAAAAGTTTTGAATTTAAAATGTAAGTAGCTGTAGAAGTAGAATTGCAATAGGAAGAAAATAAGAACAATAACAAGTAATTCGTATCACTACAACTACTGTGTCTTCGAAGTCAATCGTATTTGAATGCAAGTCAAATTAGTAGGTGAAAAAAATGTTTACCTTTCATTGACCAACCAAAACAATAATTGAGACAATAAGTGAAAGTTATTATAGAGATTTTTATTGAACGAAAAACGAAAAGTAGTGATGCGATCAAAGTTGTACTCTATTGTTTCAATAACTCGCATTTAAAACTCTAAGCTCAGACATAATCCACTTAGTTCAGTCTGCTAAAATAGATCTATACTCAGCGTATCTAATACAATAAATAACATTAGTACGATGACGTTTCTTTATGTTTGCAGACACAATCACAATAGCTCTTATAGTATTTGTACACAATTATCATATCCATAATTAAAATTAAGCATTCATCTTTAACAGTTGATGAGTTAGCTCAGTTAAGAAATATTTTTAGTCATTGTCGTTAAAAATAGAAAGAAACGAAACACATATGCAGCTGTTGCTATTGGAAATTGAATAAAATTTAAAATTTTGCCACTATTGTCTCTGCCAACTACTTTATTATTTCAGATACGTAGCCGTGGCCATGAATAACGAATAAGTGAAATAGTCTGTCTCTGGAGGACATCATCTAGAGACAGCTACATTCTATTAATCAGTGAAACCCGGTGACGGGAAGCGCGCAGCATCCTTATCCGGAATGGCTGAGCGATCGAGTGCCGAATCTCGGCAACCTATTGCAACTAGAAGTCGTCGTGCAGTTGCCCCAGCAGTAATTGTCGATACTTCTAGCCAAGATCAAGGTCCTAGTGCTGGCATTCATGTGGCTCCTACACCCACTCGTCGGTTCGAAAATAGCACTCCGCATGGAGGAAAAGGACCGAGTGGTGACAAACCCGCTGGATCGGGGAAGGCATCAGTTTGGTCAGAAGAGGAAATTGAAAAGCTAAAGCGATTAGTTCCAAGCAATGTCACACCCTCAGGTACGATATCTTGGAATGACGTCGAAAAAGCTTGGATAGATCTGAATCTGCCCAAAAGGACTAAGGCAGGCCTTAGCAGCAAATGGCGGGATATCAAGACCAAATCCGCCAGTGTGAGTGTTAGTGATTCGTCTTTGATACAAAACAAGACGAAATTGCATTTGAAAGTCGTTACTATTCCATCTGACACTACTGTAGATGTTAACCACAACGCCGGTAGTAATAATAACGATGTAAACCCTACAGTCGTAAAACCAGATCAGTGCGTACCGGCTGATTTGGCTGATGATGTTGTTAAATCAACCTTCAGGAAAGAATATAAAAAGGCACAAAAGATAGGATGTCGGATGACGTTGAGAAAAACGCCACTAAGAGTCTCCGGCAAGCATATTAAGCCTATCATCTGCGAAGTTAATCGACTGATAAAAAGTGAGTTAGATTTGGTAGTAGGTGGAATATCTTGGAATCAGTTGTCAAATCTAGTTTACGCTGGTGCGATGACAGTTTCTAAGATAGGAAACCGAAAATGTCTTGAAAAACAACAACGATCAAGAGAATGGTTTAAGATCACATATAGTGAATGTGAGAATTTGCGCCGCGTCATCGGTAAAGCTACTAGTGAGTTAAATAGACGGGTGAGAAGTGCGGAAGTAGCCCTTACAAATAAGCAGTTTCATAACATCAGGATGCTTAAAAAGAAATATAAGGTGGAGTCACGCGCTGAAATAACATCTCTTGTAGAAAGATTGAAGTGCAGACTTCAACTTCTACAATCGCGAATAGCATTAAGGAAAGCAGATGAAGAACGTGTACGCGTTCGTCAGATGCCGGCTAAGATGCTATTCCGAGGCACGTGTACTGATTCAGAACCAGTTGATATCCATCAGATCAGAAAGTTCTGGAAAGAAATTGTAGGGGTGAAAAAGTCTTTTAACTCGAAGAGTCCACGGCTAGTAGCATGGGAACAATCGATGTCAAATATTCAGGGAGAGACTGATCTTAAAGGTCAATTGAACCCTGAACTTTGGCAGAAGGTTGTTCAAAAGATAAAACCATGGAAAGCACATGGTCCAGATAAGTTGCAGGGGTACTGGTGGAAAGTCTTCGATTCAGCCAATGCAACACTTTATGATTTAACTCTTCATCATATCTTATCTGGCGAACCCTTACCGCAGAGGTGGATAACCGATGGACGTATAGTACTCATACATAAATCCGGATCTAGGTCTGATCCCGCGAACTTCAGACCTATAGCTTGTTTGAACATCTGCTACAAGCTAGTAACAGGTTTTATAGCCGCATATTTAGATCAGTATGTGAGGGGGCGAGATATACTGAACAACGAGCAAATAGCATTACGTCGGGGTGTGTGGGCTTGCTCACATGCTCTCACTCTTGACCAAACGTTAATAGCAGACGCACAGGATCAGAAGCAGAGACCTATTAGCGTAGCTTGGATAGACTATGCAAAGGCA